TTTTGTTAAGTGAAATATGCCAGTCACCAAAAAGACAAATACTGACAATTCTACTTTTTTTTGTTGTTGTTGTTATCTTCACCCAAGGACATTTTTCCATTTTTTTGTTCAGGTAGAGTGAAAGAGAAAGAGAGGAAGAGAGGGAGAAACATCGACGTGAAAGGGACACATCGAGTGGCTGCCACCCACACGACCCAACCAGGGCCGATGACAAACTGCAACTGAAGTACGTGCCCTTAGCGGGAACCGAACCCAGGTCTCTCTGGACCGCAGGCCAACACTCTAACCACTGAGCCAAACCGGCCAGGGCCTGGCAATTCTACTTTTATGCAGTATCCGAAGTAGTCAAATTCACAGAAACAGAAAGTAGCAAGGAGGCTTCCAGGGGCTGGGAGGAGAGGGAAACCGGGAGTTGTTTATTGGATGTGGAATATCAGTTTTGCAAGATGAGAAGTTCTGGAAATGTCTGCACAGGGATGTGAATATGCCTTACATTATGAAGCTGTACACTTAAAATGGTTAAACTGGTAACTTTTATATTAGGTATACTTTACCACAATAAAAACACATCAATAAGTGATAGAGATAAGTACGTGGTAGGTGCTTGACTTCATGAGAATCATGGTATTTGTTGAACGAAGATGGAAGAAGGTGACGCTGCCAGACAGCCTGACACCAGGGTTAACATGAGAATGAACATCCTCCCTTTCCCAGGAAAGCCTTCCAAGCAACCGCAGTTAGTCACAGTTACCTTGTGGCAATAAACTGGTTCTCTTTCCCATTCTCATCTCTAAACTAAAAGTTTTTCTTTTCATTTCACCTGACGACAGCCCGGCGCCGAGTCCAGCCCGAGCCAGGTGGTTCTCCCAGAGAAGCATGTTGCTGATCGGCATTAGCAGCAGCTGTCCCATTTCTGTGGCTTGCAGGGTTGCAAGTTCCCAGGTCATATAACTTCAGAACTGTGAGGGCTCTGAGCAGCCTGGTGAGACTTAAGAGGTGTATCTCCTACTTAATAAAAAATGTATAAATATATAAGACATTTTAAATAACGACTGCAAAAGCCACGGAGCTGGATCGTGGCAAAGCCAAGGCCTGACCTCCCACCATCGGAGCCCCTCACCCGTCCCATCCCTCCACTCCCACTTTCTGCCCACAGCAGCAGGCACAGTGCAGCAAGCTTCTAGTGGACACCTCAGCTTCTAGTGGACACGGTCACTGCCCTGCAGGAGAAAAGTTTCTTCTTGTAGCCAGTGACCCTGAGGCCCATCAGCCATGGGGTAGGAGGGTAGTTGAGTGTTCACAGCAGGGCTCAGCCTGAGGCAGGTGTCAGATCCTCCAGGGGAAGCGAGGCGGAGTGCAAAGAGGGCATGAGCCCCAAAGCACCGCCAGCTGGCTCTGCAACTGCCTGAGGTCGAGCCTTTGAAAAGCCCCATCTCCCCCCAATTTCCCCGCCTGATAATTTAGTCTCACCCAGAGGTAAAGCCGGAGGGACACAGAATGCCAGACTGTGCTGAAACATTCAGCGACAGTTGCAGGTAGAATTCACAAGGGGATTTAGTTATTGACCCACAACCCCTAGGATTCCTGGGCTTGGAGTGCTTCCTACACCTCCCCTAAACACCTCTAACCCAGCGGGATGGGGAGGGGAGCTCATTTCTGGATCACAGGAGTGGAAACCTAAGTCCAGGGACGGGAAGGGGAGATGGGATGTGCAGAGCCAGGAGCTGAATCTGGAACATTATATCGCACCATCCACACCTGCTAGGAAGTTTGAATAACCAGTTTCTCCCAGTTCCTTTGAATGTCTGGGAGCGGCTCTCTGTTTCCAAGTGTCAAAAACAACACTGTATCTTCTCCCAAAGCCTCACAAAGGACATATTGCTTCACCCTCAATCACCGGGGGTGGGGTGAGGTAAGAGAAGTCAGCAGCTCCCCCTACCCCATCAAAGCTGCAGGGCTTGTCACTGTGGGAGCCCTGAGGGACACCCTGCAGTGGCACAAGGGTCCCAGCAACATCACCTTGTTCATCACAGAAGCATAGAGTTCCCAGGGGCTGCTGGTCTTTACCTGAGGGCTCCAAAGCAGCTCCCTCATCTGGTGGGTTTAAATAACTACCTTCAAATTAGACCAAATCTGACACAGCTGAGACTTGAGCAAGCGTCTGTTCCACCGTCATCTTTTATTAGGCGCTCCAAATGTCACGTGGGTGGAATCTGCGCACCCACAAGCTACCTGGGTCCTGTGGAGCTGGGTGGCATAGGAGGTGGGGGTCAAGAATTACATCCTCCAGAGACGTAGAGATGGTGGATCCTTCCCAGGCACGGAACGCAGTGTTTTACAGATCTCATGCTTCACCCATTAACGCATCATTGGGGAAAGCAGATGACCACAGAGCTATCATCCAAACTGGGACACTTAGGATAGCAAACAGGGGAGCCATGCATCTTTCCTGAAAACAGCACAAACAAGACAGTCCCAGCAGGGCAATACAGCATCTCTTACATCCGGAAAGAAATCAAATAGGAGAAACCAGCCGTTACCATGTCTTGCTCTCCCTTATATGATTACGAAACCGAAGCATAAACCTCTCCTCATCAGAGCAGGTGAAAGTGTCAGTTTTGGGTGGGGATGCTGAAACTAGAAGGCCATAAAATTAGGTTTCCAGCTTTGCCTCCCTGAGGCTGTTCTCACCGGCGAGGAGTGTATCCTGCCCCTTTGGTCTGTGCTCAAATCAGAAGAAAATCCAGCTGTTAGCCCTTGTTACATGGGGACATCTAGGACTTCAGGGTGCGAACAGGCTTTTCAGTTAATTATTAAGAAGGCACTCCCAGGAGGTGCCGCAGTAGGGAGCACTTCCTCATGTGGAGAGAAACTTGTGCATGTTCCAGTACAAGCCAGTATTTCTGTAAATCCATATTTGGCCTGCAGGGGGCAACATCTCTTCAGCAATGACCAACCACAAGCAATATTGCAGGAAACATTTAATTGGCCAAGGAATAAGAGTTTTGTTTAAAAAAGAAAAAAAAAAATTAGATCAATACATTTCCAGTAAGCAATTTCCACCTTTACATATTTTTATATAGGGATTTTGCTTTTTTTTCTATCTACAGTGCTAGGTACATAGTAAGTTTTTTTAAACAAATAAATACTTATGAATTGACCGGTTGGTTGAAGATCACCCAGACTTGCCTGAGGCATGGTAAGTACAGGAGGAAAGAAACTAGGGATTGGTGAATGTGCGTGGAAAAACACTTTCCTTTCTGGTTAATAGCTTGCGGGGGGGGGGGGGGGGGGGGGCAGGGTTCATTTGAAAATTTCCAAAAGATCTTTCTTCAAGAGAAAACCATTATTAATCTAATTCTTTAAAAACAAAGAAACAAAAAGTAAAAGAATAATCTTGGTTCTATAAATCTTCCTCCTCATTCCAAAGTCCATTCTACATACATGTTAGATAAGTTATTTGCAGATTTATGCAGGTTTCTGCATGTTTAAAGGTTTTCCGTTTAGACTCCGATTTATTTAGATGCATTGATTCTAAAGCACCTCTCCCTCTGTCCCCACCTAGACTCTGAAGAGATTGGCTGAAGCCATCAAAGTCCACCCACCACGGAGGAGGGACCCTGAGATAGTTTCACTGGGCAGAGCAGTGAGTGCAGAGCAGTGGACGGGCATGAGTTGAGTCAGCCACACTCCTCTTCCCACAGAATAGGCCCACACAAGTCCCCAGGGACCTGCACCTCTGCGGGGACTTACCCTGCAGCCATCTGCTCATCTCTCACATTGGACTCCTCACTCAGTTTTTCAAGCAGCAGAGAACCAGCACCTTTAATACCACCAGTGCCCTGAGCACCCTGACCCCAGAGAGACCCCCTTTCTGGAGACACCAACAGACTCAGGAAGCTCTGGAGGGTGGGCCCAGAGGGAGAAGAGCTGGGTAGACTGCCCGCCCGTCCATGGGCCACACCCCACAGCCCTCAGCCTCATGGAGGGTGGTGGTTTTCCACAAAAGCTGCAGATAGATGTTTCAGCTTCACCCCTAAAGACACGGGGCCAACCACTGGCTACTGGCCATTTCACAGGCCCAGGTCCCCATGGTCCAGGGTTCATGGTCACACTGCTTCACGGGGTAAAGCCTCTGCAGGGAGAGGAGGGAGCAAAGCCACCAAAGCAGGAGCAGCGGGGAGGGAGACATCTGTGATTCCACAGACCAGCAGGGCCACTGTAGCTGCCTCCCTGTCCCACCAGGAGAAGATAATGCAGGAGCTAGGGCCACCCTGGCTTGCTATGCGTCCTCTGGGAGAGCTCTCAGTGTGGCTGCTGCCCCAGCTCCCAGCCAAGGCCCAGGGCCCGGGGTACATACGCAGGCGGGATTCAGGGTGGGGGAGGGAGGCAACATCACCCTCACAGGTGCTGAGGCTGTAGGTGGGGATGATCCCACAGCCAGGGCCGAGCCTCAGGAAAGGTGACACTATGGCAGTGTGGTGTGCCATGAACCCGGAGATGCTGAGCTAGGTCCCTGTCTTCCCAACCTCACAATGTGGTCGAAGTGAGGGCCCTTGACCAAAGGATGTCTGTGGGTCGCTGAAGCAAAGAGAGGTTAGGAAGTCCCCAGGGGAAGCAAGTGTCAAGGTGGGGAGGGGAGACCTTCACACAGCAGGACGGGCTGGTGGCAGAGTCACAGGAGGTAGAGTGGGCATGACAGAGAGCTGTGGGCCCTGCCCACCACACTCCCCAACCAAGAATAAGAGCCTCCACCTGCAACCATGCCTGCTCCTGGCCTCATCAGGACAGCCAGGCAGCACCCAGCTGGGGCCTGGTATAGACAGACGCACGGGTGGGGCTGGGGAGGGGGTGGTAAGGGAAGTAGCGTCCCTGTCCTTTGAGGGTGAGGATGCCCCTAGGTGCAGCTCTGGCCCAGAGGAGAGCTGGGCGAAGCCAGATAGTCAGCCTCTCCCTAGCCGACACCCAGGAAAGACTTGGGAGGCAGGGAGGAAAGCCCATCACTTTTCACCCCGGGGAAGCGCTGAGGGTGGTCCTGGCTGAGTCACCATGATGTGGTAGATGGATTCCCGGAAGCGCTGGTCTCGGCTCAGCCTCTTGGCCACCTCCTTCAGCTCCTCTATGTTGTTGGCTTCCAGCTGGGAGGTCATGAAGGACTGGGACGGCTTCACTGGGAAGAGGATGGCCCCACCCCGTGAGCAACCCTTCCTCCATCAAGGCCTGGTCCTGTCCCCAACCCCAGCCCACCTCCCTCCCTCACCATCCTATGTGCTGCTGAGCTTCTCCCAGCCCCTTCCCATCCATGGGCTCCCCTAATCCTTGGAGAAACCCAAGGCTGGTGGAGCAGGTTCAAGGCCACACTGTCCGGCCTCAGAGCTGGGCCAGCCCTTCCCACTCTGCACTCTGCCCTCCTGCCTTGTCGCTGGCGGCCTGTGACCACGCCCATCCCACCAGAGACACAGCCGTCTCCACTCACTGTCGTTCCAGGTGCTGGACCGGCGCCGGTGGAAACGGCAGCTCTTGATGCGGCGAGTGGCCGCCTTGTGGATGTACACGGAGTTCTTCATGATGACCGGCATCTTGGCCTCCAGCTCGGCGTTCCGGATGCACTCCTCGAAGAACCCTGCACCACAGTCCACTGCGTCCTCCGCCCCGCCCCGCCCCGCGGGACACCACAGCCACCCGCTGCAGGGGACACAACTGCAGCCTTTCTCCCCACACCCCCTCCCCGGGTCCAGCAGCCAAAAAGAAGCCGCACCAAGAAGATGCAGGAATCTGGAGAAACTCCATCAGTATCTAGAACACCTGGCGCACAGCAGGCCCTGGTGTGGCTCTGTGACCTGGCTGGGGCTGAGCTCCAGGGCTGGGGGACAGGCCCTGGAGGGCAGGGCTTACTTTTCAGGTGGCTCACGTCAGCCCGCATCCTCTCCTCCTTCTCCTTGTTCCGCACCTTGGAGTTGAGCCCTTGCTCCAGGCTCCTCAAAGCCGCCTCGGCCTCCCGCAGACGCCTCTCCAGGTCCATGCGGACCTTCACCTCAGCCTGAGGGAGCGGGAAGAACAGAGATGGGGGGCCTGGGAAGCAGCTGCCATCTCCCCTGGAAGCCTTCCCTGATCACCCCTGGCTCAGGTAGGCTTTCTCACCTTTCGACTTGATGGAAGTTACCCACTCCTGACTCCCGTCTTGCACCCTTGACCAGATGGCCTGGACTGGGCCCCACACCCAGCCATGATGTCCCACAGATGCGGCAGACCCCCTGCTTCCCCTCAGGGTGCTCCACTGCCTACACCTGGCCGGGCAGGCCGGCGGAGATCACTCAGGCAGCTGCCCGTAGAGCTCGGGGACTGAGGGAATCTCCAGGTGAGGGAGGCACCTTGAGCTCCTGCTCGGCTTGCTGCTTCTGCGCCGTCAGCTCCTGCAGCGAGTCCTGCAGCGCCCGGGACTGGCTGGAATAGAACTCGCGCTCCTCCTCCAGGGCCCGCGAGCGCTCCTCGTTCTCCTTCATCCTGCCCGGTGGAGGAGGCACTCAGCCAGGGCCCACTCACCAAAGGGGTTCCCAGTGGGAGGGCAGCCCTCGGAGCCCTCGCTAGAGAAACCCCGAGACCCAGGCTTCAGAAGCCCTGAACGTTCTGGGTCCTGTCACTAGGTGATGCGGGGAGTGGTGTGCTCAGCTGGGGGAGTCCCAGGCTTAGAGTTCTGGGTCAGGTCTTGCTGGTTCTGTGACCTCAGGAAAGTCCTATGCGCCCCCCTCCAAGGCTCAGTTTCTTCATCTGCAAAAAGGGGCCAAGAGGACCTTCCCAGCCTTGGCCGGTTTGGCTCAGCGGTTAGAGTGTCAGCCTGCGGTCCTGAGAGACCCGGGTTCGATTCCCGCTAGGGGCGCGTACCTCGGTTGTAGTTTGTCCCCGGCCCTGGTCGGTTGTGCGGGTGGCAGCCACTCGATGTGTCCCTTCACGTCGATGTCTCTCTCTCTCTCTCTGTTCCTCTCTCTCCCTCCCACTCTACCTGAACAAAAAAAAATGGAAAAATGTCCTCTGGTGAGGATAAAAAAAAAAAAAAAAGAGGACCTTCCCAGTAGGCCGCAAAGCATTGTTATACAGACCTAATGACCGTACAGCTCACACCATTGCAAGCGAGAATGATCCAGTCAGTTCTGAATAGTGAAGGTTCTCTTCCCATTTCCCTGGTGGGAAAACTGAGTCCTAGGCAAAAGGAGGGTGGTGACCTATCTAGGCAATGGCAACTAGACTCCAAAAGTCCAGGTGTCCAGTTTAAGGGAAATCGCCGATCCCAAAGCCAGCCGTGGACTCAGTGGCTCCAGGCTCCTCACCGCTTCTCTGCCAGGAGCTTCTCCTCCAAGAGCTGCTGCATCTTCTCCTCGATCTGCCTTAGGTTGCTATGGAGACTCCCATCGGGAAGGGGCTGCTCACTCTGATTGGCCAGTGTCTGCGGTTGGTTCTCATTCTCCTCCAGCATTTCCAGGGTTTTCTTCTTCTCTATGGAGAGTTCCTGGAACGGAGGGAGGGAGAGAAGGAAGAGAAAGAGCCTAGTTAGGTTCTCCTCCATGGCTGCCCTCACCTGCCTTCCAGTCCCAGGGAGTGAGGCCCTCCAGCCCAGTCCTCTGTGAGGGACACCTGAGATACCCTCATTCTTCCTTCCCGTACGGTCAAAGGCCAACCAGGATCTCCTTCCTCACAACAAGGCAAGGTTACCCCTCCATCGAGGGAATCAGAGAGGATCCCAAGGAGGCTTCCAGGGGAGGGGGCACCTACTACAACCAGGCCCAAGACCCAAGGGCACCATGACCGTCTGGGGTTCTTGTTCCTCCAGGGCAAGTGAGGGACTGTGTTGGGTTCATGTGAAAAACACCCAACAGGACCAGACAAGAGCTGGTTTACATTCTCCCCCTTTAAGAGACCGGGATCTTACACACCCCAGGAATTCTGGAGTTGAAACTACCCATGGGAACTACCTCCCATGGTGTGAAATGGAGAAACATAAACACATAAAGGCACCACTGACAAAGCCGGTCAGTGGAGGGAGAACAGAAAAGCTTGCAGTCTGCAGGCAGTTCAGGAATTCAGTAAACATTCCGAACCCCACACGCCAAGCTCCCTTTAAGTACTGGGCTTGCAAAGACCTAAGACACAGCCTAGTGAAGTTCACGGTGTGGAAAACGCAACGTGGTGCGTTCAGTGCCATCACAGATGTGCAAGGTGCCGCGGGAGCCCAGCGCTCAGAGCAAACCCCTGCTGCGAAGAGGCAGGGGAGCCTGACCAAGGGGATGTCCGAGCTGAGCCTTGGAAGGAGGAGAGCTCTCCGGGCAGAAAAGAGGTGAGAGGACGTTCTGTGAGGAAGGCACAGTATGGGCAAAGGTGTGGAGGGTGAGAGAGCTTGGCTTCCTCAGGGCATGTGAGCTCAGGAGTGTGGAGGAGGGGCCGGGGTGTCTGTTCCAGGTGTGGAGGGGCAGCAGAGGGCCAAAGGGGAGGCGAGGCTGGCGCCAGAGTTTGCACTTGTATGCCATGCTGGAGTGTTGGCACTTTGTCCTTGACACATGCCCCCCCTCCCCCTCCCAGTTTCTGTGGTATCAAATGGAGGTGACCTGGCAGCTGATTTCCCTTCGTGCTCAGTTTCACCCTGGAGCAGCTAAGTGAACGAGCCACAAGAAGGAAGTGGGGGTGGCCCTGCCACCATCCTAATCAATCTTCCATTTGGTATAAAAATATAAGCACTGAAGAAGGTGGATTTCCTGAGGTCACGGTCACAGTAAGGGCAAACTTGAATCTGCCCTCTGGGTCCTGCTTGGGGTCTCATAAGTCGGCTGGAGTTCCCGAAGAACCAGAGAAGAGACCCTTAGATCAGCGCCTCTTTGTGCCCTGTTACCTTTGCAGATGGCTCAGTAACTTGGGAAACACTGTTGGAAAAACTAGTACCGCGTGGCCCAACCAACCAGCCTGCCTCCCGGTCAGCCGCCCACCAGCGGCCCCTCACCTCCAGCGTCTGCTGCAAGGACTCTGTGAGGTGCCTCAGCTCCTTTTTCTCTTGCTCCACACCCTTAAGGCATCTTGCGGTCAGTTCTAGCTCCCTGTGGGGACAGAGGGTATAGGTATGGCAGTGCCCATCGCTCCTAGTCCCCTCTGTAGACAGAATAGCTTGACCAATAGTGATGGCGGTGGTGATGCTGACGATAACCACACCAGCACCACCAGTACCCAGAGCAGGAATCCACATTCCTGGCTAGGCTGCATCAGCACGACCTGGGGAGCTTTTTAACAATATAGATTTCTGGGCTCTACCTTTAGGAGATTCTAATTCTGTTGAATGACTATAATGTACAACTGGTTTACAAACCACACGCAGGACTAAAGATCCCAAGGAACATCACTAGGCAGAATGTGAAGGAATTGTGCAGGGAAGACAGGGAATGTTGGGGTCTTGGCTAATGGCACCTCCAGGTCAGCCTGGCCTTGCCCACCCTGTGTAAGGAAGGTCTGACAGAGGCGGGAGGCTTTGTTGCTGAGGGAGATGCCCATGTCTCCTGCCCCAGTGGGCAGAAGTGGCCCATTTGTGTGGGATGTACAGCTTTTTCTGGGCACACCCCAAGGCTGGGGGCACTGGGAAGATAGAAACCAAGTCCTCAAGTAGTGAGGCTCTCCTGGGCAGAGGCTTCTCCAGGGCTGGGCAGGACTGCGGTTTCGAGGTGCCCTAGCCCCGCTGCATCTTCCTCCCGCTCCCCTCCAGGGCACCCCCCACCTCCGGATCTGCTCCTGCTCCATTCTCAGCTCCTGCACCACCTCCTCGAACTGCTGCTTCTCAGCCTCCAGCACCTGGTTCAGGCGCTCGAGCTCCTGAAGAGAGCAGAGAGAAAGAAGAGTCACAGGCCGCACAGGGAACCCCCACTCTAACCTGGGGATCCTCTGAGATTCAGCAGTCTGGGGCACATGCCGGACCAAACTTGAAATAAGGTCCTGTGGAGCCTTGGCTCCCTCTGACACACAGTCTCAACAAAGCCGAAATCCGCGAAGACCTGGGCTCGCTTACAACACATTGAGCAAGCTGCAGGCAGGGTTTAGAGATGATCCCAACATTCCTTCCTGCAACTGGACACGATGATAATTCTAGATGTCACTCACGCCCTAAGGCACGCTGGCTGGCCCTCAAGCCCTGGAGGATAAAGCGGTGCGTACATATTTCCATTAAAGATCCTTGGAGTGGCATCTATTAGAAGTGGCAAAGAAAAGCCATTCCCAACCCAAAAGTCAGAGAAGAACTCTCTTTTTCACACGGCATCTGTGAAGCAACGAGCACAGGTGGCTGCAGCTTCCCTGTACTCAGTCCCAAGGGAACAGGACAGCCAAGCCCAGGACAGGTGGCCCAGGGCGGACAGTCCCTTCCGGAATGCCGGCAAGCATGTGCCCTCTGGGGCTCCCGTTTTCCTGGGTTTCCATGGCAGGTGGTTTGGGGGTACACTTCAAGTGAAGCTTGGCAATTGCTTTGCTCCACACTGTGGAAGGATATTATTTCTAGATCCACTTTCTTTCTCATCTTCTAGCTCCAAATTATACTCTCATTTTTTTTACCCAGGGCCTTTGTTCTCAAGCATCATGGAAACCCCGCCACGGAGCGAGGCTGCTGGAGGGAGAAGTTGTCACTGGATTTGAGGAGGCAGAGAAAGAATAAAATTGAAAGGAAAGGGAAGGGTCTGATTCCAAACCCCATGTCCTCATTTCCTAAGCTTCCTACCCAAAGAAATGGCTCCTTCTGTCCCTTCTGATCATTATTGGCACTCTTTTTAAAATATATATATATTTTTTTTCTTTATTGATTTTAGAGAGAGAGGAAAGGAGAGGGAGAGAGAGATGGAAACATTGATGAGAAAGAACATCAACTGGCCGCCTTCTGCCTGCCCCCGGCTGGGGATCAGACCACAACCTGGGCATGTGCCCCAACCAGGAATCGAACCAGTGAGCTCTTAGTGCATGGGTTGACGCTCAACCACTAAGCCACACCAGCCAGGCCCATTATTGACACTCTTGGCATGACTCACTTATGGTCATCATGAGGGCTGCTCACTGGCATTCGGATGCCCCTCTGGGCACACTGCACGGTCACAGTGCACCTGCAAAAGCTGGGCAAGCCCATGGGACTGCTAAGACCAATGGAACGTGAGCAGAAGTGTGTCACTTCCAGGCAGATGCCTTTAAGAGACAGGGCACGACACATTATGTTCCCTTTCCACTCTGTGGCAGGCAGTGTTGCTGCAAACGATGAAGGCGTGATTAGCCTGGATCCCCGCGAGGAGATGTGGGGCAGAACCTCCCGCTGACCCACGTAGCTGAGAGAGAAATCTACGTTCACTGCTTAAAGCCACTAGTATTTTGGAGTGAAGTGTTATTGCAGTAGACACAGCCATATAGAGACATAATATAAATATAATTAAAATTTATTCCTGTAGCCCCCCCCCCTTTAATAAAAGAAAAATTCAGAGTTTCAAAAAGTTTGAAAAAGCTCTATGTTGATGCATTCTCAGTAGCTGACACTTGGTATTGCTAGGGATGATAAACCTCTCTATGACCTCAAATTTTAAAAACCTGACTTATTTCCTCTCTCTGATGGCCTCTGCCTGCTGTGGGAGGGCTGTTCAGGGGGATGGGGAAGTTAGGCTACAAGCATCCCTGAGCTTAAACCTGAAATATCCCAAGGGCGGCTGCCTTGTATAGGCACCTGAGTTCTGCTGCTTCAGAACAGATCAGCCAGGCCCCAGCGAGAGGACGCCACACCACAGCCCCGGGTTCTCCTCCCTGGAGAGCCCTTTCTCCAACACTCCAACTTACCAATACTTCCCCGTACTTACCATGACACTGGGATAGCCTTTATAATTGAAAATGGGAGAAAGTAACTGATTAAAATGCCATGGAAATATCCGTACACTGCTAGTAAGAGTGTACATAGGTACAGATTTTCTGAAAAGCAATTTGGCAATAGGTATCAGGAGCCTTCAAGGTTCTTGCCCTTGGCATCAGTAATTCCACCCACAGGAATCTATCCTAAAGAAATCATTTGAGGCCCCGGCCGGGTAGCTCAGTTGGTTAGAGCAATGTCCCGTTACATCAAGGTTGCAGGTTCAATCCCCATTCAGGGCACATACAAGAATCAACCAGTGAATGCATAAATCAATAACTAAAAATAAAAATAATGAAAAAGAAATAACTAGAAAAGTAGGCCAGGATTGATGTACAAGGACATTCACTGTGGTGTAATTTATAATAGTGAAAACAGCCTAGATGTCAAAAAATAGAAGATCAGTTAAATGAAACATCACATATAATGACTCAGTACATGGTCACTAAAACTGGTGTTTTCAAAGAACGTTGAATGACATGAAAAATTGCTTGAGGTAAATGTTGATAAAGGTATAATGAAAAAGCAGGCCATAAAACGGAACATCTGATATGATCCTATTAAACTTAAGATATATATATATATATAAAATGAATAATGCTTTTAAAAAGACTAAAAAACACAGACAAGTTGACAGTAGCTTTCTGTCAACTGTGGAATTAAGGATAAGGATAAGGCTTTTTTCCAGGTTTTCCCCAAAGAGCAGGATGTCTAGGTTATGTATTAAAGAGGAAAAGGAAAGACAATACCCTTCCTGGTTGCTCGCTTCTTTTCACCTTTCCTTTCGCCCGTGTGGCTCGTGCATGAAGCAAATGTTCAGGTGCAGCCTGAGCCTGCTGATTAGAGTGAAACCTCCAGCCTACACACTTGGAGCAGCCAGAAGCTTCTGCATGTTTGTAGCAACCCTGCCACAGCCTGAGGCCAGCCAAGACCTGCTTCAGCTAAAGCCTTTCTCTACATACAGCGTTTGTGCTTCTGACTCCGGGCCCGACTTAAGTTGCAGGAGTAAAAGGTTGGGAAAAAAGTCACTAGAAGGCAAATTCCAGCTCAATGAAAGAAAGAATTTTCAAATAATGGAGCGATAATGCAAAGGTTACCTCTGAAGGTAGTGAGTTGCCCTTTGCAGGATCAGGGTCAACATCCGTCAGGAAGGTCAGCAAAGAGCCTCGCCTTGAAGTGGGAGGTACTTTCCCGCTCTGAGTCTGTGTTCTGACCAGAGCACCCCAGGTGGGAAGAACCCTGGTGGACTGCCCTGGGTACGTCTGATTTCCCACGTGCCCACCCGTGTGCAAGGCTGAGCACTCACAGTTCACCCAGAACAGAAAAAAATAGGCAGGCTGCCCTCCTCCTGGGAGTGAGAGAGACGAGGCCACAGGGAGTAAGGGGCACCAGAGGGACAGGGGACCAAGGAAGAACATGCTCTATGGCCCCAGGCATTTGTGCCCAGGATGGCTGCCATCCTGCATCGTTCCCCTCTCCACCCCAGGTCACCCTCTGCTCATGCCCCAGAGTCCCAGGCCCGTTCTGCCACAGGGCGCCACACAGTGCACATCTGCGTGGGCCTTGCCAGTCCACCAAGCACGCCCCTGCTTTCCATTCCATTGAGCCTCACAGCGACCCAGGAGCTAGGTCGCAAAGCCATTACTCCCATCAGAGCTCACAGAAGGTCAGAGAGGCCAACTTGTCCAAGGCCACACAGTCCGTGGTAGAGCTGAGACTAATCTGGGTCTCCTGATGCCAGACCCTGAGTCTTCCTTTGGGCCAAGCAGCCTCTGAGAGATCAGAGAATCCCCATCTCATCACTGGGCCATTGTCCCCAATGCCTTTCTAAGCGGCATGAGACACACCCAGATAGTCTGTGACCTGGAGTGGAGAGGGGAAAGCTGCAGGGGACAGGCAGGCTCCTCGTGTGGGTGATTACGTTAAGGAAGGAAAAACCTTGACAGAATGACTCGGAGTTCTGTCCCTGATCTGAAGCAAGCAGCTGACAGGGGACTGCGAGCCTGGCATGGTCCTCCCTCCTGCCTGCCCAGAGCCGACTTCTCCGCGGAACCCGCTGGGCCCGAGTGAGTCTCACTCACATTCTGTGCCACATAAACCGGAGTTCACGGCTGACAGGCTTCCCCCCTTCAGCGTGCTACGGCTTTAAGTGAGGCCTGTGTGCCGTGGGTCTCCACTGCCCTCATTTCCCGGCTAAAGACCTAGATAGAGTGTCTAAATTTTCCTCCGCCTGACTGCCCCAGATTTAGCCTCTCCGACGGATAAGTCTGCCTCTCTCCCTGCCCGTGGCTGTGTCTGTCACTCCAGCCCACCCCTGGGCTTCTTGGGTTACCTGTTTTCAAGTCACTAACAATCCACCAGAAGTCTCACTTCTGAAATGTGTAGAACTGTACGGAGTAAAAGCCAACACCCTATGCGGGGCCCAGAAGGAGGGCCCGGAGACGGCGGAGGCCCCAGCACTGCTGTCACCACGCCGGTCCTCAAACCCGAGCAGTCCTGACGCAGAGCCTCCACAGTCTGGGTTTGGGAGTTCTGTTGTTTGAGTCTGGATTTTATTATTGACAAAATGACTCTGAAGCCCAGTTGGAAGAATAAATGGGCAAGAACATCTGATAAAATTTTTGAAGAAGCCCTGGCCAGTTTGGCTCAGCAATTAGAACACTGAGTCCAGACAGAGAGTCCCAGGTTTGGTTCCCGCAAAGGGCATGTACCTCGGTTGCAGTTTGTCCGAGGCCCTGGCTGGGGTTGTGTGGGTGGCAGCCACTCGGTGTGTCTCTCTCACATCGATGTTTCTCTCTCTCTCTTCCCTCCTCTCTCCCTCCTGCTCTATCTGAAGACAAATGCAAAAAATATCCTCGGGTGAGGATTAAAAAAAAAAATTTTGGAAGAAGAAAAATGAGGGTGAATCATCCTACTGGATTACAGTCAAGATGTAAATTACAAGAATCAAAAATGTTAAGAATAAGAAAAAAGATTAAAAATATGAAAAATAAAATGGCAATAAATACATATCTATCAATAATTACTTTAAATGCAAATGGATTACATGCTCCAGTCAAAAGACGTATGGAGGCGAAATGAATAACAAATCAAGACCCTTACATATGCTGTCTATAAGAGACTCACTTCAGCCCTGGCCGGTTTGCTAAGTGGTTAGAGCGTTGGCCTGCGGTCCAAAGAGACCCAGGTTCGGTTCCTGCTAAGGGCATGTACCTCGGTTGCAGTTTGTCCCCGGCCCTGGTTGGGGTGTGTGGGTGGCAGCCACTCGATGTGTCCCTTTCACGTCGATGTTTCTCTTTCTCTCTCTCTCTTCCTCTCTCTCCCTCCTGCTCTGTCTGAACAAAAAATAAAAAAATGTCCTCCGATGAGGATAAAAAGAAAAAAGAGAGAGAGACTCACTTTATACTGAAAGATACACAGACTGAAAATAAAGGGATAAAGAAAGATAATTCATAAAAATGCAAACAAACAAACAAAAAATCTGGGGAACAATACTTCTAGCAGACAACATAGACTTTAAAACAAAGAGATAGAGGAAGACCCAGCAATTCCACTTCTAGGTATTTATCTGAAGAAACCCAAAGGACTAAGTCAAAAATATATATACATTCATATATTTACTGCAGCATTATTTACAACAGCCAAGATATGGAAGCAGCCTGGCAAGTGTGGCTCAGTGGTTAAACATCAACCCAGGCACCAAGAAGTTGCCGGTTCAATTCCCGGTCAGGGCACATGCCCAGGTTGTGGGCCCGATCCCCAGAGGGGGGCATGCAGGAGGCGTCCAATCCATGTTCTCTCTCATTGATGTTTTTATCTCTCTCCTCCTCTCCCTTTGTCTCACTCTAAAATCAATAAAGAAAAACTTTTTTAAATAAAAAATAAAAGATATGGAAGCAGCCTAAGTGTCCATCAATAAATGAATGGATAAAGAAGAAATTGTGTGTGTGTATACAATGGAATATGACTCAGCCATAAAAAAGAATGAAATTTTGCCACCTGCGACATGGATGGACCAAGAGGGCATTGTGCTGAGTGAGATAAGTCAGACAGAGAAAGACAAATGCCATATGATTTCACTTACATGTGAATTCTAAAAAACAAAATAAACAAACACACAGAACGGAAACAAATTCACAGATGCAGGGAACAGTTGCCAGATGGAAGGGGGTTGGGAGGAATGTGAAAAAGGTGAAGGGATTAAAAAGTGCAAATTGGTAGTTACAGAATAGTCACAGGGATATAAAGTGCAGCACAGGGAATATAGTTAATAATATTATAATAAGTATATATGGTGTGAGATGGGTATTAGATTTATTGGGGTGATCACTTACTAAGTCATACAATGTCTAATCATTGGATTGTATACCTGAAAGTAATATAATATTGTATGTCGAATTTAATTGAAAAATAAAAAATATTTAAAGTAAAAAAAGTTCATTCATTCATGAAGTCATTCCACAAACATTTATGAAGGATTCAACCTGGCCGGGTGCTGGGCCAGGCCCTGGGAACGTCTGGGTACTATAAGGACATGACTGCAGGGCCTGTTTCAGAGCCCACTAAGGGGTGGCTGGGAAGGGTGAGGAGTTAGCAAGTGAGGTCGAGAGATAGGCACTGACCCAAGGCTGATGGCCCCAGCCCTACGACTTGCCTGGGAGAGGACAAGGAAAAGCACTGGGCAAAGAGAAGTGGCCTCCCTCTGTGCGCTTCTCTGGGCAAGCCAGTCTGCAGCTTGGGGCCTCAGGCAACTCATGGGCAGGACAGGCCCATGATTAATAACAATATGACCATAATACTAACAAACAGAGATTCACTGAGCACGGATTATATGCCAAGCATTTTATATTTAACATCTCACTTAATCCTCACAACATCCCTACTAAGATCAGTTCAATTATTATCCCCATTGTTCATGTGAAAATATTGATGTTCAGAGAGGTTAGGTAACTTGCCCAAGGTCACACAGCTAGAAGTGGTGAAGGTCCAGTACACAGGCAGCCTGGTTCCAGAGTCCATGCTGCTAACCCCTACCCTACTCTGCCTTCCGGGGGAGGAAATGGAACAAGCAAGGCCCAATGCTGCGTGGAGATTCCAAATGAAGTGCACTTCAGTGGCTCCCCACCCTCTTATGAAGCCAGGGTCTCTTTCACTGCCTCGGGCCAACGCTTGGCCGCCTTGGGGCTTGTATTATCCACATTTAGAGAATGAAGGAACCCCTGAGATCATCCAACCTGATCATCCTTAGGTGCCAGAGCCCCCCTATGAATAACAGAGGCCATCCCAGCCTCCTGTGGGTATCACCAATGGCAAGCAGCTCATTACCTACCAGTGCAGCTAATAAAATTTGGGGATGGCTCCTTCTCTAGAAGGTGGTCACCTACCCCTTTAACTTTCCTCCCCAGGACTGCCAAGAAGCTAGCGCAGGTCCCAAGCACTGTCATCTCACCGGCCTCCAGTCTGATTTTCCAGCCAGTTCTCTGGGGCACAGCTCCCCCACATCATTCCCCAACGCCAGAAACATGAGCCAGGACACCTGGGCTGTTCGGGGGCCCCCAGAGCGGGCAGTGGCGGGGAAGGGCAGCAGTTCTGAGCGGCCTCGCTGGGCGCCTACCTCTCTCTGCTCCCTCTGCAGGCAGAGTTCTTCGGTCTCTTCCATCAGTTTGTCTGCCAAAGTGAGCACACAACACTCTCATGAAAAGCTCACTCCAGATCCGGTCCTGAGGGGCTGGTACCACAGTCACCTCTGCCACCCCCAGCATCTCCGGAGGAAGAGGTCAGCACTGCTGCACCAGGCCAGCCAAAGGGCGGGGCCAGCTCCTGGGGACGGAAGCTGCTGCCCTCCCTGCCTGTCACTGTCCCTGCATTGTGCATTCACAAGTCAAGGACAGCCTTGCCTTGGAAGCTCAAAGTGAGTCTCTGCACCCCCCCCCCCCCCGGGTGCTGTCAACCTCTGCGCCAGTGTCTGGCTAGTGGGGAAGGGCTGGTCCTGGAAGGAGAGGGGTGTCAGGAGGAGGCAGAAGGGAACCAGTGTTGGGGCCCCAAGTGTCTAAGGAGGCAGCAGGGAAAAGGGTCCCAGGTGAAGGACCAAACCCCAGACTCAACTTCTTTCCCAAACAGCAGGTTAACCAGCTAGTCAGGGGCACAAGGGCCTGGAATCTTATGATCAAGTTTTTTTTATCTTATTAATTTTTTTTTAATAACCCAAGGATATTTTTTTATTTATCTTCAGGTAGAGAGGAAAGGAGAGCGAGAGTAACATCGATGTGAGAGAGACACATCGACTCGTCGCCTCCCACACGACCCCGACCAGGGCCAGGTACGAAGGTATGTGCCCTTGGCTGGAATTGAACCCGGGACTCACGGGTCCGTGGGCCGATGCTCTGCTGCTGAGCCAAACCGGCCAGGGCATCTTATGGTCACGTTTAGAGTGGGCTGTGGTGTGACAGCTGGAGGCAAGCCCAGGACCCCGGGCCCAGGGCAAGAGAACATCGGCTCCATTTACAGAGCCTGACCGGGTGCCTGGCCGTGCTTACAGGCATTCTCTCATTTAAGCCAATCCCCATGCCACTTCCAACAGCTAGGGACTATTTCTGTGTTCATTTTCAGGATGAGGAAATTGAGGCTTGGAGAAGCTGTGCTGTCTAAAGACATACACATAGATCAGAGACAAAGCTGGGTCCAGAGCCCAGGCTCCTAACCACCAGGCTTTCCTGCCCCCTGTCATGCTGGCCAACAAGACGTTTATTATAAAGCTCTCCAGGCTCCCAGCTGGTGTCTGCTCCTGTAGCCTGCTAAGCCCCACCCAAGACACGCCCCTCGGTCCTCCATCAGGGAATGCCAGCTTCCAGCCGTCCCTCCAGCCAACCTAAATACTCCTGCTTCTCCTTGGCCAACTGCAGCCCCTGGGCCTCCAGGCTTTTGATCATGGCTTCTCCCAGCTGGGCATTCTTCCAAGTCCTGGGGAGGGAGGGCAGATGGGACAGAGGAGGGAAGAGGAAGAGACACAAAATTGTGAAAACAGAAGGGTACGGGAGAAAGAGAGTGTGCGTGATTTGTCCTCGCCCCTCCCTTCTCTCTAGAATCCCAGCTCACAGCCACTCTGGCACCCCTGGCTCTGGGCACGTCACCAGTATCGATCAGTCCCTGGACGCTGGCCCAGACTGAAGTGGGCCACCGTCAGCTGGGCCGAGAGCACTTTTGGAGCAAAGAAGAGATTGCTTCCTGGCTGCTTTCTATAGCACCAAATGCCCACCATCTGGCGCAAGGCCTGGCATGGGGCACATACTCAGTGCTATTTGTTAAACTAAAAGCATGACCCAGCTTAAATAGGCAGGCACCAGGACCAGGGTTTACGTGCAAATGAACGGTGTTGGGCTGGAGGTTTCTGAGAGATGGACCCTGATTTACAAAGCTCTGGTCTGTGCTAGGATTAATGGTGGGCCTGGGGAGCAGAGATGGGGGCCAGGAGGCAGCCAAGCCCTACTAGTGATGCTGGATTCACTCTGAGAGTTGGAGACAAAGGGAGTCCACCTGCGACTAGACAAGCTGAGCTCATTTTGCTCAGAGCTCACTTAGGAGACTCCTCACAGACGCTCTAAACCTGGTCTCCATCTCCTCTTGTCCACCCTAACCAACCCCCACAGCCCTGTCCTCAAGGAGGCTCAGGCCTTTTCTTCTCACCCTGCCCTCTCCTGGGGCCCTCTGCGCCCACCGGGATCCCAGCAGAGAGAGACAGATCGGGGTCCGTCCAGCCCACACCCCTTCCCCTTCTGGACCTCAGGCTGCCGTCCTGCTGGGGCCACTTACACCTTTCCGGACTCCTGCAGCATCTCCAGCCACTGGGTCTGCTCAAACTCGGACTCCGCCGCCAGCAAGATGTTTCCCTGCCAGGAAGAGGGGCCACGGTGTACCTGAGGGAAGGCCGCTCTGAGGACACAGAGGCCACCCCAGGCCTCTGCAGGCCCAGCTCTGCCCTCCCCGCCCACATCCGGCGGCACTGACACCCTCCCAGGCCAGGTCATGGGAGGGGTTGGCCCTGGGGACCTGCACGATCCCACAGAAGCTGCTCTGCCCTGCTGAGCCGGGGCCAAAATGGGAACTTGACTCACATGAAAGTCCTGGTGGGTGATTTTCATGGCGTAGGGCATGCTGGGCTCCTCTCTGGCCTCCACCAGGCAGCCCCCCAGAGGGACGACGCCCTGAGAAAGAACCAGAACAGGCGGCTTTCACCCACCCAGCCCAGGTCACTCAGGGCCTGTGGGAGCCCTCAGCTAAAGCCAGGTCCTGCTGAGGGCCCCAGGCTGGGAACCAGACCAGAACTCTTCCAGAAGGAGCACAGGCCCAGCAGGCTCCGGGCACAGGAGGGCGGGGGTTCTGTGCCCCAGGAAGAATTTGTTCTCCAGATTCTTGATTAGACCACGGCACGAAAAGAGAGCGTCCTCTGCCCTAACGGAATACCCTCGCCCACTGCCCCACTGGGCCCTCCCCCACTGTGGCCCTGGGAGAGGCCCCTCACCTTAGGATGTATATTGAAGTATTTATTGGTTTCAAAGCTCTTTTTTTCACTTTCAGAGTAGTAAAGAAGGAAGCTCTCTTTGATGATGAAAAACCTATAGCAGGTGAAGAAAGGACAACCAGGAGACAAGGGTGAGGTTTCTCAAGACAACAAGAGTGTCCTTGGGGGCCCAGCACTTACATGGGGAGCCCTTGGGGACACCAAGACTCATCCTCACCAACTCAGTTCCCCATCTGGGCAAAGGCCTGAGCTGACCAGCTGCCCACTGCCCTAGGCAGCCCAACCCGCACACCACTGGGCAGCTGACGTGGGAGCCCCCGCTGGCCCCAGGGCTGGCTCCTCTGTCCCTCTTGAGCCACCACCCTCAGCACAGGAGGGCATCTGTGGTACTTCCTCGTGGGTACCCTCAGCCCCTTGAGCCACTGTCTCCAGTCCCTTAAGTTAGGTTTGTCCCGGGGGGGGCAGATGAGGGGAAACAAGACACAGGATCCCAAGATGGGTCTTCTGACAGGTGAGCACAAAGGCTGGCGACCAGCTGAAAGGTGGGGACCCAGCTCACGCGGCCAGGCCTGCAGCCTGCATGTCACATCCACACATCCTTCGGTCCCAGACTGCTCCACTGCCTCTTTCTGAGACTCTGGTTCAGGGACACCCAGAGCGCCCGGCTCCTTCCTCCCAGGGCCCTTGCTAACGCCGCGGTTGTGGTGATGGGCCTGGAGAGCTGGGAGCAGTGGTGAGTGGGAGCCGGTCAGAGGGTCACACATTCAACAGTGTGCCTTTCCTCTGCTCAAAGTTCAGTGACACCGTGTTGGTAGCTTGATATCAGTCACACTGGGAGTATTTACACCATGAAAATCATCAGATGCTACAAAACACTGTTCCACTCCACGCCACCCCAAGCAGCCTGCTGTTAACCACCGAGCAGCTCACCTCTTGTGAGGGGCTTGAAAAGGTGCTGGTGGGCATGATGAAGTCTGCATCCCTGAAGGTTCCCCCAGCTATGTGATCTTTCCTGAAGCCACAGTGCTGGGGGTGGGGGGTCCTCAGGACTGCTGCCAGCTGTCAGCTCGCCTCCCCCATGAAAGTGAAGCACACTTTGTTCTTTGGTGGGTCTCACACCCACCCATGTTCTGTATTTGCACTGACCCTCTTGGCCCAGACACCAAATGGAGCTGTGGACCTCCGAGGTGACATCCTGCTAGTACCAACTCTTCCCTCAGGCCTTTCTACCCCCACTGGGGGAAAGCACATGACACCACCCTCTGCAGGAGGGTGAGAACGTGCTGGGCCCTCCAGCAGCTGGCCCTTGCCCGCCTTCTCAGCTTTCCCTCCACTTCTGCCCTTCAGCCTCTGCTCAGCTGAACACTGAGCTCGCCACTCCCACCTTACTATGTCCTGCGTGATCCTGCAAAGCCATGCAATTAGCCCTGGTGGGTTGCTCAGTGGTTAGAGCATCGGCCTGCGGACCGATGAGTCACAGGTTTGATTCTGGCCAAGGCACATACCTCGGTTGCGGTTCGTCCTGGCCCTCGTGGGGTGGTGCAGGAGGCAACCGGTCGATGTGTCTCTCTCACATCAATGTTTCTCTCTCTCCCTCCCTCCCACTCTATCTGAAGATGAATAGAAAAATATCCTTGGGTGAGGATAAAAAATAAAACAACCATGCAATTAATTTTCCCTGGAATGCCCTCCCTCTTGCTTTTCATCTGGCTGAACCCCTCACCTTGGTGCCCAGCCCCGCCCCGCCCACACTGCCGTCTGAGCCCCCTCTGCACTTGCTGAGCGGGCTGCACACTGGCACTCAGAGCCACTGCCACATCCCCTGTGCCCATCTTGTCCCGAGCACAGTGTTGGGCTCCTGGAGGGCAGGCCATGCCCCCTCAGCTCTGAGAGCCAAGGGGATAGAGCCCCTGCCTGTTTCAAGGGACTGTCACAGTCACTGAGAACACGGGCTTTGGCATCACACAGACCTGCATTTCCCAGCTGGAGGGCCCTGGGCAAGTGAGCTCATTCCCTGAGCTTCAGTAAATTTACCTGTAGAACAGGGGTGACAGCATCTACCTCATCTGATCATTGTGAGGATCAAATGAGATTGTGCTTATCACTCGGCCAACTTGCAGAGGCTCCAGGACAGGGTGGAGTGATGCTCCCCACAGTCTGAATACAGATCACCCACTGGAAAGTGTGGGCCCCGCAGCACAGGCTGGCCTCCTGGGGGCCTTTCTCCCCTCCTTTCAACAGCTTCTGAAATACTGTTATGGACCGAACTATGTCACCCCCTCCACCAAAACCATGTTGAAGCACTAACACTCAATGTGAGTGCATCTGGCGAGCACGTCTGTAGGAGGTGCAGTCGGTCCTCCCCGTCGTCCATAGGTTCTATGGTATAATCAACTATACCATAGGCTAATTGATATAAGCGAGTTAAGTTCTTATGGCACCTCATCAACATGATAAAGAAAGTGAACTTGAACAAAAAGACATTATTCAAGGACCTACTGTAACAAGATTAAAGAAAGTCGAAAGGGTGAGGCCAAAAACTGACAGAGCTATGGCGTTATAAGAAGAGGAAGGATTCTCTCCTTCTCTGTCACATGAAGACATAGTGAGCCCTCCTGGCCAGTGTGGCTCAGGTGGTCGAACATTGCCCTGTGCATCAAAAGGTCACAGGTTTGATTCCTGGTCAGAGGACATGGAAGATTGCAGGTTCAATCCCCAGTCGGGGCACCTACGGGAGGCAACCGATCGATGCTTCTCACATCACTGCTTCTCTCTCTCTCTCCCTTCCTCTCTCTCTCAAATCAATTTTTAAAAAATAAAATAAGGTAGACACAAGGACATAGTGAGAAGGTAGACATCTGCAAGCCAGGAAGAGGGACCTCACCAGAACCTCGGACTTCCAGCTTCTAGAACACTGAGGAAATGAATTTCTGTTGTTTAACTGAACGATTTAGCAGCTGGTGACCGTTTACGGCATTTAGTTATGGGAGCCTGAGCTGAGAAAGACAGATACTTCTTGCTTTCCTGACACTTCTCCCCACCCAGGGCAAAGCACTTAGCTAGGGACTTGGGGGTGCAGGCAGATGATACCAGACACATGGGCAGGGAGAGAACAGGGGCTCTGGAGTCCGGAGATCTCCCTCCCTCCACCACAGCCTCGGGCAAGCTCCCAGCCTGGCCGAGCCATTCCTCCCAAGCTCCTCTCCCCAATGGGGGTGCAAATATCTGTCTCTTGGGGCTGCTGTGAAGATTTATTCATTGATTTAGTGAATAATTACCACCTCCTTCTGGACCCTGCAGAGTTGGGCTGGCCGTGCCAGGGCTGGAGACAGTCACCGTTAATTTAGATGTTCTCCCGGGCAGGCTGCTGGGCTAAGTGCTCTACAGTATCAGAGAATTTGATCTATGCAACGCTCTTAGAAGGTTGGGTTCTTGGTTCCCATTTTACAGGTGAGAAAACTGAGGCTTAGAGGAGAAGAAAGGTGTGCAAGGTCACACAGCTAGGGCAGAGGTGAAGCTGGGATTGGAACCCATGACAACAGTCCCTGCTCCTACCCCCTCATCTCACTGCCTAGGGAGCTGCTTCTGCCCTCGTGCTGGCACCTGGGCAGGAAACAGACGGGCCAGAGGCAGTAGGTAGCAAAGGTGGGGGAGTCAAGGGTCAGAGCTGTGCCACTTGTCAGAAGTGTGACCAGAGCAGGTCAATTTGTCTCTCTAGGCCTCAGGTCCTTCAGTGTACTTGAGGATAATAATAGTACCTATAGCTCTTAGGACTGTCTAAATAATTAAATGAGCTTGTTCATATAAATACTTAGAACACTGTGTGGCACGTGGTGAATATTCGATACGTGTTTACTGTGCGACTGTTATTTTTGTTAGGTTCTGTCTGCTGCAGCCTCCCTTGCCCTTTCTCATTGTGCTCCCCCGGTTCCTACTGGCGGTTCCAGCTGGCCAGCTCCCTGTCCCCCAGACACATGGCACTTTCCCTGCCCAGCTCCAGTCCTGGGCGAAGCTGTCTTCACCCGAGCCCTTCGGACCCTCCCTGTCTGCCCCACTGGGCTGTGGTAAAGGCTGGAGAGTGTGTGAGGTAAGGGGTCCATCCACCTTGGCTGCCTCCTCTCTCTGGTCTTAAAAAAACAGTATTTTCACCTCTAGATTAAGGCACATTTACAAGGTGCCAACACACACAGTTTGCTAAGTGTTTTATTGACATTATCTTATGTAAATCTCTCAAAAGAACTCTAAAGATGGAGATATTTGTTTTTCTATTTTACTGGTGGAAAAAAACCCGAGAGAGGCACAGAGAGATTAAGCAACTAGTAAGCGGCAAACGGGGAACTCTGCTGACCAGGTCCATGTTCTCCGCTGCCGTGCTCTGTGAGGCCCGGCCCTCCTCGGCCCCTGGCATTGCTGTGACTGCAAGCTTCTGGGCAGCTCAGGTCAGAGCACTAATGCGACACAGGGCCCTGGGGCTTGATGAATCCCTGCCCTCAACGAGCTTACAGTCCAATGAGGGAGAGTAGAAATCTATAATTTAAAAAGTAACTAGTGTTTATTGAGCTCTTCCTTTGTGGTAGGCCCTGTTCTAGTAACATCATTATGTGTGTTAACTCATTCATTCCTCAGACGTGAGCTGGGCGAGGTGATGAGCAGAGGAGTGAAGTAATATGGCCCAGATTACACAGCTAGTAAGTGGGGAGCCGGAGCAATTATACATGTTTACCGCAACATTGTAAAAAACAAAAGCCAGGATACCCAGTGACACTATAAAGTACCAGGATACACTGTGACATTATAAAGCACCATGTTATACTGAGACACTGTAAAGCACCAAGGAACATTGTGACATTATAAAGCACAAAGACAGTGACACTGTAAAGCATCAGGATACCCGGAGACACTGTAAGTTTGTATGAGATACAGAAAGAGTGCAGACAGGAAGGAAGGAATGATTTAGGTGTCTGGCCAAGGGAATTCTCTGACAGGAGGGTTTTGAAGAATGAACAGGAGTATCTTAGGAATCTGGGAAGAAGGGGAAGATACACGCCAGACAGAAGGAACAGGAGTGCCTGGGGGGTGCAGCCACTGGCTCCATGGTTCCCTGGCACTTAGTGGATACTGTGAATCAGCTCCCTGAGGCAGGAACCCACCGATGTTCCGGAGGAGTGAACTGTCGCTAGGCTGGACGCAGGGCCCACTGGCCACCTCACACCTGGGGGAAGGAGGGACAAGAAGGAGTGTAGATGCCCCTGCTGCAGGAAGGACTTGGCTGGGCCCTCCTCATCAGGGACTTCAGCCTTGAAGTTGCTCAGAAGGGCTTTGGGAGAGGGACTAGAATTCTGGGGACAGCATTCTAAACCCTGGGGAAGAGTTCGCCTGTGTGCTGGACCCGCCCACCATGGGCCTGGCCCTGGCCGAGGCTGAGATCCTTTAGTCCTTTCTTCCTTGTCTCTGAGCTGCCCAGACTGTGCCAAGAGCTCCAGTGTCTCCACTACTCACAGGCTAAGGAGAGGACAGCCATCAGCCTTACCCTCTGAACACCTCTCCCTGAGTCTCTTAGCTCTGCGAAATAATGTTTTATATTCCTTTTTCCTTCTGTTGCCCATGGGAGAAAACTTGACCCTTTAGCTCAAGGGCATCTTCCCAACTCAGGAAGAGAAGGGCTGCTCAGGCAGTAGGGGTTGGAGACCCTGAGACAGACCCCAAGCCAAAGAAGTTTTATGAAACTCAGCTGGTCACAGCTGGTTTATCCTGCCCATCCCTTATTTATGCAGCACAGGAGGCTTTCCAGGCCCCCTCCCCTCAGCTGCCCAGCTAGGGCATCGATCGCTCTAATGGCACAGCTCTGCGGTTTGGGCCTGAGCTGCCCCCTCCCCAAGCCTTCCTGTGGCCGCTGCTAATTAGCTGAGGTCCAGAGACTCCATTTCACAAACGGAGAAGTGGGGCCCAGGGGGCTCTGCTGGGAAATGAGAGGGGTCTAAGCTTAGCATCATGCCTCTCCCACCCCTAGACTCTCTGGTTGGCTCTGTCGCTGACCCAAAGCTACTAAACTCTGTGTGTAGGGGCGAGGGGGGCATATTTCCACAACTGTGAACGTGGACAGAGGCCAGAGTGGGCAGATGGGATGTTAATTCTTTTCTGAACCCCAGAGGAAGGGGAGTCTTTGTACAGTGGCAGCTCTAGAATTCTTGGACTGGATGGCTGTTTTGAGTGGCTATAGGGATACTGAGGGACAGTCTTGGGGTGGGGGGTGCTACCGCTTTCCAAGCCCTCCCTGGCTTCACTACTGTGCTTTTAGCTGGGAGCTGTTGGCCCTGACACCTCCCAGCCCTGGAATCAACTCCGGGTGCAGGAGTCAGGTCCCCACAGGTGTTGGTGAAGAGGCGTCAGGAACATACCCTGGAGGGTCATAGACTCCTAGCATTTACTAGGGATGCAATCAGGTGAAAATGCCTGGTGGGAGAAGTCTTAGATGACAAGACCCAGAAGCATCACCAAGGACAACAGCCAGACCCAGTGGAGATGTTGGCTGTCTGGAGCAATGGAGGCAGAGAGAGAAAGGTAGGCGGCATGCTGCTAATGATATTTGAACCTACAAGCAGCTTCTCTGTCCAGAAGATGGTCCATTGCTCCTGAAACCAGCGTTGGGAGCTCGCTGCAAGTTCAGGGCTTTGAGCTCCCCCTTCCTTCAATACCTTTCAGGCCCATTTGTAAGTGGAAAGTGGCTGCTAACGTGTGGGGAGTTGCTTCTGAGTTAGGTGCAGAAAGACTAAGCTCTAGGCTACTCTGACCCTCCCCACCGCACCTCCAAGGGATCCATCCTTCTGAGAGGACCAATCCATCCCCTCCCCTCAGTCTCTGCTCCATCTCCACCTCAGCTTAGTCCCTGGCTTCTGTACCAGCTTCTCTGCCCGAAGCATTGGAATCTCTTTTCCCTTGGCCCAGGTTTAAAAAAACAAAAACAAAAAACATTTAAGAGCTAATCCGAGTGGTTGCCAACATCATCTCCTCCAGGGCTGGGCACGGACACTTCCTGACCCTTCCTCCCTCCCATGGCCTGAGTCTTTCAGAAGCTTCCATCGTGTGCCCCGTTTGGGACACATGGGTGGGACACCCGTGCCGCACCTCCAAGCAGGCTCCGTGGCCTGGGGGAGGGGTGCGGTGAAGGTCACGGAACTGGCAGTGGGGACCCCAGGGGTCTATCCTTGACTGGAGATGGGGCTTCTCCTTCCGCAGCAGAGTCCGGCCCAACCTTACCCAGCTGGGCTCCTAACACAGACACGATCTTGTCAGCCTACACCAGCCTCCCCACCCAGATTTAGATCCATTCCACAGAGAATTCCCCACCACGCCCAGGCCAGTGGTCCCACCCCAGCTCCACCAGCCCTCAGGCAGAGATGAATCCAGCCCAGTCTGGGATCCACAACTTCCAGGGGCAGCTCAGAGTGAGCCAGGGCGAGGCCAAGGTCACAAAGGAAGGCAGAGGCAGGATGGTAATACAGGGGATGGTAGGGGGTCCTTAGGCCCTGGGATCCCTCCCCGGGCGGTCCTCACGGGGCGCGGGAGGCGCACTCACCGCCGGGACCACTTGGCAGAAGGCCGCCCAAAGGGCCGCTTCCACAGCACACCATAGAGCTGCACTTTGGTGCTGATGTCCAGCGCGTCCGAATCAGCCTGTTCCAGGGACGGCGAGGGCGACACCGAGTTGGACTTGGACATGAACATCCTGCCTCAGTGGGGCTGCCCCCGGCCCGGCCCACCCACTCCCCGGGCCGGCAAGGACTCTGGGTTCCGGGCGGCGGGCGGCTGCGGGGAGGCGGTGCGGGCAGACTGCTCGGGGCGCCGTCGGGGCGCGTCCCAGACAGCGGAGACGGGGAGCGGCCGGGGGGAGCTGCTGCATTAACGCGCGCGGGCCCGGAGCGCGGCGCCGATGGGGCCCGGGGCAAGGGGCGCGGGGTGCGCAGCCTGCGGCTCAGGCTCGGGATTGGGGCGGGCCTGGAGGGAACTCGGCGGGGAGGGCGGCTCAGCCAACAGCCCGCAGTATTACCCCCACCTTCCCACGACAGCCCCAATTCTGGCGGCCCCGATTGGCTGGGCGGGGCAGGTGAGCTAGCTGGAGGCCGGCCGCGAGCGCCAATCAGTGCGGGCGCCGGCTGGAAGGCCGGGCTCCGTGCCTCGGAAGGTCCCGGCGGGTCGCTCGGCCTGGGAAGCGGCCACTGAACTGCCCCACCTCCATCTCGCGCGGATCCCTTCCCGGGTTCCTTCTCGCGTGCACCGCCTGCCTGGGAACCGGGAACGCGCTGCTTCGTGATGCGCTTGGAGACACAGATCCCTACTCCCCTCCGCTGGGGGGGAGCACGGCGCGAGGGTGTGGGGTCAGACCACCGGGCTTGGAATCCCAATTCAACCCTTCCGTGGGTCCGTGTGGCCGCGGTGAGCCTTGGTTTTCTCACCTGAAACGCGCAGATGCCTGCGCCTCCCCAGGTGGAGTGGCGGCCAAGTAAGACTAAGGGATTGTCCGCAGCGCCCGCGCGAGGGGAGGCTCCAGAGGTGCTGGCGGCCTTGTCCTGCCTCCCCGCCCCCCCAGGTGGGTTTCACTTTGCACCGCCGCCGCCTCGCCGGGCTCAGATTTCGTTTCCCGGAGCTTGGCTGTCTGCGGCGGCCTGTGGCACTCAGTGCCAAGCCCGAACTGTCAGTGCAGTTGGTGTCTGTGATTTATCTGCGCACCTGGCCGCTGCTCCCTGGGGCCCGGCGCTCCGTGCACTTCCGCGCCTCTCAGTCGCTCTAGGTGACCGTTTCACTTTCCGGCTGGGGCAGAGACGTCTGTCCTGACCGCTGGGTTAGCACCGCTGCCCGCCGACACCGCTCCGAAGGAAAAGCAGCAAGTTTGCGCTGGAAGAGGCCGCCGGCTTGGCCGCGCCGCAGTCACCCTTTCCAGGCTGAGCAGCCGCAGGCGGTCTCGGAGCAGATGCCCTGGGGAGAACCCCTCCCGCCCCAGGCTCTGTGATTCCTCGAATGTTAAAGAAATCCGAACAGAAGTTTGCAAATGAGTAGTCTGAGAGCCAAGTCAGTTGATAGATAGACTTAAACTTGCCCGACTTAAAAAATGAGGTATTAATATATGATAAAACGCACAGATCTTAAGTATTTATTTGATGTTTATCTTATGAATGTATACACCAAGTAACCACAACCCAAAGCAAGATGCAAAACATTTCCATCACCCTAGAAAGTTCCCTTATGCTGCTCCTGTCTAGTCAACTCCACTGTCCCCCACTCCCTCCCAGGCAACCACTTTCTGATTCTTAAGAATTTTTTTTAATGTCTAAAATGGCATTTTCTGCAGAGACACCATCCTTTGCTCTGCCTGCTTCCCTCATTATTGCCTGCCTGGTTCCTTGTAGGGATCCAAGTTTGTATCCTCACTAGATTCTTTCCCAGGTATAACATTGCATGAGTCTAGTTAGGAAGGGGTCTCCCCAAGGACTCCACACCTTGGCATCCTTCTCCTAACCAACTCTGGGGTTCCCAGGCCCAGACAGCATCTTCTAGTTGCTCACTGTCCCAAGGGGCCCTGCATCCTATAGAAAATTACAGGTCAAGCCTTAACACAGGGCCTAGGGTCTGGCTTCAATAGGATATGGGACTCGGAAGATGAGAGCCCATGGATTAAGTGCAAAGTAGACATTTCACACGTTTCTGGCTATTTTTGACATGTTCTGATGTTTGGGAAATATCCCACTCTGGTAGCCCTGCTTTTTCCACATGGAAGATGGAAAACTTGTGTTCGAAGCTTGTGGTGTGGAGTCCACTGATCAGGGGCATCAGGACAAGACTTTGAACTCAAAGTTCAAAGTTGTAGGTGACAAACATGAGAAAAAAACATGCCCAAGCATCAGTTTTCTCAGGGGAAGGCGGTACTAAAGGCATCCCTGCGTTTCTTTCCAACGCAGCAAGCAGCATTTGCACTGGCTCCTGGCTGCATACAAAGGACAGCACTGAGTGGTCTGTGATGGCAGCAGCATGGTTTTGGGTGGCATTCCTGGAAGCTTCACTTCTGGCCAGGCCTGATTCTCTAGTGCTTTTAATAAATTAATTCATTTTCTGCTTAATCAGGTCAGTACCAGCTTTGGCTGCTTGTGATGTAGGACTAGGGACGAGCTTGTGAGCCATACATGGGAGAAAGGCAGGATACATGAAAAAGCCACTTTTAAGGGAGTCCTTCCCAAGCAGAAGCGCTGGGTAAGCCCAGATGGTTCCTGGGAAAGAGTCAGTGTCTTCGATGGAAGAAATAGGGCACAAGTTTCTTCAGTAGCAAAGAAAAACCAACCTTGCTCATTCATCCCCTCCGCATACAGGACATCTGAACAGACCTTAAGTAACCGCAGGTAAGGTGGGCAGAAAGGCTGCTCTGAGGCAAACAGCATGAGTTTTAAGGACCCCTAGATACTTAAATGGCTTCTGCTTTGCTCAGCTAACCAGCCCTGATCATGCTGAGGCAGCCTTGGGAGAAGCTGTTTCTGCTTCCCTTGTGCTGTCTCAGCTGGTGGGAGTGGCGAATGCCTGGCAGATAGATCTGGAAAGACAAAACAAGCTGGTTGCCAATTCAGTGCCCCAAACCAAGTGTGGGCCAGGGCAGTGCAATTTTATCAGAAATTAAATGAGACCAGTTAGGGAGGGCAACTCGGGGTCTTGAGAGCCCTGCACACTCAGACACAGAGCTGATGTTGTAAATATATTATTTACATCTTATGTTTCATTTAATCTTTGAGACACCCCCAGTGAGGTATGTATTACTTGTAGTTTTCCAGATGAGAAAAATGAAGTTTAAAAAGGTTGTCTAGCCCTGGCCGGTTTGGCTCAGCGGTTAGAGCGTCGGCCTGCGGTCCCGAGAGACCCAGGTTCGGTTCCCGCTAAGGGCATGTACCTCGGTTGCAGTTTGTCCCCAGCCCTGGTTGGTCGTGCGGGTGGCAGCCACTCGATGTGTCCCTTTCACATCGATGTTTCTCTCTCTCTTCCTCTCTCCCCCTCCCACTCTACCTGAACAAAAAATAGAAAAATGTCCTCAGGTGAGGATAAAAAAAAAAAAAAAGGTTGTCTACCTAAGGTCACTCAGCTTAGTCATAGGCCCTCAAATATGTGAATGAGGGAAAGTAGCAGGATCAAGATACTGTTATGGAATTTGGTCTGAATCCTAAGCCCATACTATCATGCTAGTGCAGTGCCGTGTGCAGTGCAGTCTGGGAAAATGCCAGACCTTTCAGTCTTTCCCTTTTTCCCTAGTAATTTCTCTCAGTTGGCAACTCACCTAAGACTCAAAGTTCCTGCAGAATGAAGATGCAATTCTATTTGCACTATGAAATTCCAGCCTCTCAGCTGTGTTTATGGACACTCTTAATAATGAACACACATTTTTTTTTAATTCTAGTCTTTATTTTGCCCCCAGCTTTATCAAGGTATGATTAAAAATGAAAATTGTATAAATTTAGGTTGTACGACATGATTTTAAAGGTGTATAATATGATGATTTAATATATGTATACATTGGGAAACACCAGTCAACACATTCATCACCTCATATACTTAGTTGTTGTGTGTGTTGAGAACACTTAAGATCTACTCTTGTAGCAAATTTCAAGCATACACAGCATTAACTGTACATTAGATCTCCAAAACTTATAACTGAAAGTTTGTACCCTTTGACCAACATCTCCCCAGCCTCCCCACTCCCAGCCCCTGGTAACCACCACTCTACTCTCTGGTTCTGAGTTTGACGTTTTTAGATTCCACATGTAAGTGAGATCATGTCATATTTGTCTTTGTGTCTGGTGTATTTCACTTAGCTGTTCATGTCTCTTCCAGGCTGAGCTCCTTGAGCAGAGTCCAGGGCATGGAGTGCGCTCAACAAGTGCTTAACTAAATTGTCTTCACCTGGCTCCTGTTCAGGTGCTGTAGTTTCTTGTTTGTTTGCCAACCAAATGTGTCTGCCCACTCAGGCCCTCAGCTTTCCCTCCTCTGTAAAACAGAGTCTGTGAGGTGGCTGAATTTATGTGTGAACAATCTTTAGATGGCAGACTTGTCACCTACTTTATATGTTAAGGTGGTTTAAGTCTGGGCTCTGCCATTAACTGTGTGAACTGAGGACAATCACTGGACATCTCTGAGCCTTCCAACTTGCTTTCCACTTTTCAAATGACTCTCCCATCTGTCTATAGCAGGATCCCCCAAGGAATCCCCACTCCCCACCATCACTCATTTGTTCAAGGCCCAAAGATGATCCTGTGAGCTTCCTGTTTAAAACCCTTGACGGGGTCTCCATTCCTTGACTCGCTCCCAACCCAACCTTGACTGTAACACCCTCCTCAATCTGGTCCAACCTCTCGCGCGGCTCTCCCGGTTTTCCCCTTCCTGCCCCAGCCACACTGGGTCTAATATTCTGAGAAGCCACCATGCTCAAATGGCTGCATTTCCTAAAGCCAGGGGTAGGCCTTGGGCTCCTTCTCCTGTTGCAGAGCTTAGCTGTCCCAGGGGAACCTGCGAGGGGGGGAGGGGTAGAGGGCATCCCGAGCAGGTTAGAAGCCAGTAGGCCAAAGAACTAAGGGGCTGGGGAGTCAAAGGAGAGCATGTCCCCTTAAACAATGTAGACCAGAGGGTGCAGGAGTGTTGGGGAAGGAGAACCAAAGGACAGAAGGAAGACTGGGCATCCTTCTCAGGCCAGGTCCGGTCCTCTGTATACAACTGCAACACAGATGTTCAGAAGTAGAATGAGGAGAGTCATTAGACCCCAGCCAGGAAGTGGGGGAGACAAGCAGGGATATGGGAGAAAAGTCACCAATCTCCACCTCGAGGTGCCAGAGGAGCCACTTGAGGGCAAGGATCTGGAAACTGAACGTGGTGATAGGAACTCAAGAGGCCAGCCAAAACCACACCTGGGAAGGGGATCCAGTTCAGGTTGAGGCAGGAAGACCCTTACTAGGCCCAAATATCTGTAAAATTTTTTTTTAATCCTCACCGAGGAGATTATATATATATATATATGTATATATATATTTTGTTGTTGTTGTTGTTGTTGTTGTACGAGCCCCTAGCGGGAACCAAACCCGGGACTCTCTCTGGTCTGCAGGCTGACACTCCAACCACTGAGCCAAACCGGCCAGGACCTGAGGATATTTTATTTATCTTCAGATTGGGTGGGAGGAAGAGAGAGAGAGAGAAACATCGATGTGAGAGAGACACTTTGACTGGTTGGCTGGCACAGAACCCCAACCAGGGCCAGGGATGAACCACAACCGAGGCACGTGCCCTTGACCATAATTGAACCCGTGACTCTTTGGTCCACAGGCCGACGTTCCAACCACTGAACCAAGCTGGCCAGGGCTTATCTGTAGAATTTAAATCTGGGAGTTTAGACATCCCGGGAATCAGTGTCTCGCACACCCTCTCGCCTCCCCTCCTCCAGCCGGTGGCACTCCCATGCAGAGTCCACATTCTGTGTCCACCAGGCCTTGGCCACGTCGGTCCTCCAGCTCAGAGAGCCTTTCCCACCTTCTTCGCTAGCTCATTCTGCTCAGCCTTTGAATTCAGCTCTGCTCAGCCTTTGAATTCAGCTCTGGTCTCATCTCCCTCTGGCTGTTCTCACTGAAGACCCCACTCTGTGTTCCTTGCCCTGTTCTCTGAGCACCCTGTGCTTCCTGGCAATTTTCTTGTTTGAATCACTCACTGAACTGCAAGCTCTTTAGGGACCGGCACTGATCCTCACTCCCTGTTGTACACTCAGCACCTAGGAGTGCCTGGTCCATTGAAAGGGCTCAATGAACTGAATGAAGAGGTGAGTAATAATAAGTGGAGGAGAGAGGGGGCTAGCTTACCTCCCATTCTATGGAAGACATAGGATCTATGCTTTCCTATACTTGACAGCCTCTGAGTATCTGGTGATGGCTACGACATTCTGCCCCCTAGAGCCCTCCAGATACAGGTAAGCAGTCAGTTCCTTCCAGGCGGCCTCCAGCATCCTGGCTTCCCACCCCCTCTCCACTGGGTTCCCTCCTCTGGTGTCTCTTGAATTTGTCAGGTTCCTTTATAAATGAGGCAACCAGAGTGGACACATGCTCATATTCTTATCCAATATTTATAAAACTGCAACAGAAATCAGTAGATGAGCCCAAAGTGGGATCCAGATTTTCTGATCCCCAAATCAGTCACACAGCACCTTACTAAAGTTAGTTAGTGCTGGGTTAGTAACCTGAACCCAGTTAATTTTCCACCTGTACACTCAGTCCCATGTCTTTTCTGACTCCCAACCTCCTCACTAATACCCAAGCAGCCTTCACCCCGCATGAGACAAAGGCGGAGTTACCCACAAGGCCAGCAGCTGGTTCAACCAGGGATCAGGGCAGCAGCTGGGGGGTATGGGGAGTGGATGGGAGCATAGAGTAGAAAAAAAATGCTCCTCCTGAGCAGACCAATTCATTTAACAACACATATTTGTTGAGAACTAGCTTCCAAGAGCTCATATTTTATCGAGGAAGAGAGACAAAGTAAAGACATATTATAAGGACATCAGTGTATAGAAAAATAAAACCTGGTGAGGAGCACTGGGGTGGGGGTGGGGTGGATTACCATTTCAATAAGGCAGTCACAGGGGGCCTAGTGGAAGAAGACTTGGGATAGACCTAAAGGAGGGGAGGGAGCTGGGAGAAGGGCATGCTAGACATAGGGACAATAAGACATAAGGTTGCTGCTTATTACTTACAACATGAGGGAGGGAGAGAGAGAAACATCCACGTGAAAGGGACACATCGAGTGGCTGCCTCCAGCACAACCCCAACCAGGGCCAGGGATGAACTGCAACAGAGGTACGGCCCTCGAGGGAATCAAACCCGCGACTCATTGGTCGTGGGCTGACACTCTAACCACTGAGCAAAACCAGCCAGGGCATAAGTACATGTCCTTTTTGCCTATTCATGAGAGGATTTCAGAAAACATGTAACTGTGCACAATCTTTGTAACTTACTGTAGCGCAAGTGATATATAAAGAAAACAAAGTGGACCAGTAATAAATAATCTAATGACTAAACATACAAACTGTATATTTAACTGATACATTGCTGTATATAATGCTTATTTGTATATGAGTTTAAAAATGAGCCCAGCAGGTGTGGCTTAGTGGTTGAGTGTCTACCCATGCACCAAGAGGTCACCGGTTAGATTCCCAGTCGAGGTGTGCACAAGGTGGCTGATCAATGTTTTTCTCTCACTGATGTTTCTATCTCACTCCCTCTCTAAAAATTAATAAAACATATATGTATTTTTTAAATGAGTTCCAGTCCTGGCCAGTGTGGCCCAGTGGTTGGAGCATCGTCCGGTACACCCAAGGGTTGCTAGTTTAATTCCCGGTGAGGGCACATACCCAGGTTGCAGGTTCGCTCTCCAGTTGGGGCGCATAATGGAGTCAACTGATGGATGGTCCTCTCTCACACTGATGTCTCTTTCTCAAATAACGAAAAAACATATCCTCACCCAGACAGTGTTGCTCAGTGGTTGAGCATCGACCCATGCACCAAGAGGTCACCGGTTTGATTCCTGGTCAGGACACATGTCCAGGTTGTGGGCCTGATCCCCAGTGGGGGGCATGCAGAAGCTGGCCAGTCAATGTTCTCTCTCACCAGTGTTTCTATCTCTCTCTCCCTCTCCCTTCCTCTCTTTCTAAAATCAATAAATGAAAAAAATAAAATAAAAAATAAACATATCCTCAGGTGAGGATTGAAAATAATAATAATAAATAAATATAATAAAATAAATAAATAAAAGCAAAAATGAGCCCTGGCTGGTTTGGCTCAGCGGTTAGAGCATCCACCTGAGGTCCAGAGAGACCCAGGTTAGGTTCCCGCTAATGGCAGGTACCTCGGTTGCAGTTTGTCCCCGGCCCCAGTTGGGGTCATGCGGGTGGCAGCCACTTGATGTGTCTCTCTCACTTCAATGTTTCTTTCTCTCTCTTCTTCTCTCTCTCTGTCCCACTCTGAAGATGAATGCAAAAATGTCCTTGAGTGAGGATAAAAAAATAAATAAATAAATAAAAAAGCAAAAATGAGCTCCAATACTAAAGTTCACAGAGAAAGAAAACATCAGCCCTGGCCGGTTTGGCTCAGCGGTTAGAGCGTCGGCCTGCGGTCCGGAGAGACCCGGGTTCGGTTCCTGCTAAGGGCATGTACCTTGGTTGCAGTTTGTCCCCGGCCCTGGTTGGTCGTGCAGGTGGCAGCCACTCGATGTGTCCCTTCACGTCGATGTTTCTCTCTCTCTCTCCCTCCCACTCTATCTGTACAAAAAATGGAAAAATATCCTCGGGTGAGGATAAAAAAAAAAAAGAAAGAAAACATCAAATTTACAAATTGCACTTTTATAAAAATCTCTGTTCCCAGAGTCGATTGTCCACAGCTTCAATATACTCATATGAGTATATAGCAACTCTGCCCTTTGAAATGAATCCCGTGACTGGGATCTGTTGTCTGCTGCTCCTTTCTGGGAGTAGATAGCTAACTTCATAAATAATATTTGCTAACAACAGCAAAGCAAAAGAAAAACCATCAATGAACTGGTATCTTTTGGGGTACATGGTGTACGGAATCCTTAATGTCCCCTCCTTCCTTCCTCCCCTCCTTCTCTAAAGATGTGCACACAGCGGTACATCATTCCTCTGCTCTTCAAAGCTTTTCATTACCTTCTCTGCTGTTCAAATGTGGGTCAAGTCTGGTCATAAAACAGAAAAAATAAACTGCTGAGAGGATAATTAATGAGCTACTCACATAAGGTATGCACTAATAAAAATTTAATATCAGAAAACAGCAAAAAAAATTTTTTAACCATTCACAATTAAAGTGGAAAGAGACAAAATTATAAGGCAGCCATCCATGGAATGATTTCATGTTTACAAAGGACCCAGAAAATGGGACATTTAAAATCATTGTTCAGGCTACTGAACCAGGGGAACTGCAGTGTTATCTCAGGACACTCCCAACTTGCTAGAAGATGCTATTAGAAAAAAAGGTCAAAGCCAATCTCCTTATGTTAGGCTGAGCACATCTGAGCATATTCCTAATGGTTGTCTTGTCCTTTCCTACAAGTCACACACTTCCCTCAGGTTTCCTGAGGTGAATCTAGATGTCTCGGGTACAAAGGGGCCACATCACTGGTTTTAATGTCATAGCATCTCCAACAGTACTCTCTGGGTGATGAGAACCATTCTGTATTGAACAGTAATTCCCCTGTAGAACACCCACAGAGGCTGCTCACCTGGCATTGTGGCAGTTTTGGATGAATCTGGTCATTAATCTCAGTCTCCCAACGGTTCCCAGGGCCCCACAAAAACATTCTTTAGGGGCTTGTGCTGTTGACATACAGTTCCCGTGTTCAGTACCTAGCTACCATGTGTCTACGGGGCTTAGTACACTCAATGCTGGTGTGTTCTCCTAGTTCTGTTCCTTGAAAAAGAGAAACCAGGCAGTGACACTTAGTAGTAGGCCAACAAAAAAACACAATTACACTTTCTCCTTTCTGCAAAGAACTGACCATTCAAAATGGCCATCTCTCTTTTTTCTAAAGATGATTCAAAATATAGGAACAGGGCTAACTCAGCTGATTTGAATAGGGAAACATAAAGGTGATTTGGGGTGGGGTGGAAAGAGAGAACACAGCCTATGTAGATGGTACCATTTCTAAATCTACACTCCAGTGCAGAACCTTTGCCTAAAGAAAAGAAATCTGGCAACAGCATGCACAGGAAAGCCACCAGACCTGGAACATTGCTGCTTTGGAGAAATAGGATCTAATAAGCAATTCACTGGAGAACAAGTGAGGGGAATGGATCAGTAGTATTTTTCAACTTAATTTGCCATTTAAGAGGGTATGTGGAATTTGAAGAAAGTCTATCCCTACTACGGAAAGAGAGTCAAATTGCAATTAAGATTAACTTTGGTTATGAGGAAGGAAGGACTATGCTTTTCATCATCAACTGCATCTTTGGTAGCCAGTAATTCCACCTGTAATCATGGCAGCCATTTAAGTATCGCAATTGTTTTCAAATGTGTGAGAGCATTAAGGCATCCACATCTAAGGAGGCAGTCTTAAACAAGACAGAAACGGAACTGAAATGTGTCAATAAGTGATCATCGATGTGGCCTCTCCTGGGACACTGCCCACCAAGAGCAAGTCCCGTCACCAGGGAAAGGAGGCCTCTGCCACGCTGCTCGGTTCCCTGCTGCCTGAAGATGCATTTGAGCCCTATTAGGTTAGTATGGCTATTTCTGTTTGCTGACCAGGAGGGAAATGAGTAGTTCCTGAGGCAGCAGCTTTAAAATCTGGGGAAGCCCACAGCTTCGGAAAGCTGATAGGCCTTGAAAGGTCTGCCTGTTAATGTGAGGTCCAGAGAGGAAGGCAGATGGTTCAATCCTTGCCAGAGTTCAAGGCTTAACCAGCACGATACACTAGCCAAACTTTTAAGCATGATGGCAAGGCACTGCTGAAAGATGCTTTGGCCAGCAGAACAAATTTCTCATCATTGCACATAATATGATAGAAAGTGCTACTATCTAAACCAGAAACTAAAATATGCTGTTCATGTAACAAAGTAAATATCCAGGGAGAATCAAGGCAACCATGTCATTTTGAAGGACCAGGTGGAACCCCATGACTCTCATAAGTCAGTGTTGTTTTCAGGAAAGTCACTTAAACTTTCCATACTGTATCTTCTGTTGGTTTTAATAAGCAATGGTTGCCAGCCAATACACAAAATCTAATCCTATTTATGCTACTTTGGTCTACAGCCAGCAGAGGGCTCTCGAGTTCTATTTCCACAGCTGCTGACCCAGTGACAAATCTAGGAAGGAAATAAAGAAATCATAGGCATGCTGGCATATGCATCGTATAAAACATTTTACAAACTCCTAAATCCACTGCCCTGAAGAAAATAGTCTGGTTCCCTCTTTATGTAATGTTTTGAAATAGTACAGAAAATCAAAATAAATAATACACTATTATACACTTATTTGATAACATAAGGTTTACAGGGATATTGGCAAATATGAAAAAAAAAACCATCCTAGTTTGTTAAACACTTTTACTATCTCGTTTAAGTTATCAGAATATTTGTGATTGTATCATGTCACCTATGAGGAAGTGATATTTTAAGGGCTTAACAAAGCTGCATTTGACACAAAGGAACTTCATTGAAGGGAATAAGGAACAGAGACAATATTATCTTCATCATCACAGCTCGAGAAGTGGTTGTCCTAGTGCGAACTCAACTCACACAAATATTAACATCGCCACCATCAGTAAGCAGCAAATTGTAGAGGAGGGACTGGAGGGAAGAGTTAGGAGAAAAGCATAGAAAAGATGGAAGAGACAAAAGACATGATTTAAATAAGCTTTAAATGAACAGGCAAACGTTTCCCATTTGTGATGCATCTTGACTTTCTTCACTGCTACAGGTGCTTAGGTGACACTGACCGAGCATCCCACAAGAGACACCAAGTATTTTGCCAGAAGGACTGCTGGTCTGCTAAGATAAATACTTAAAAAGAAAAAAGAAAAAGGACAACATAGGTTTTGGTAATCTTACTTTTAAAAAGGTTATTACAAAGATGTCAGCAACTATCCAAATTCACTTAAAATTTAACACTTAATTTCCAAAGATACTTTGGGATCTGACTGTTCTTGAAGGAAAGCCTAAGCCTGAACCTACTAGAACTTGGCTCCTCATAAGAATGTGTTGGAAGCAGGTGTTCTGCAAAGGAGAACTTGAAAAGAAATGCTACTAAATACTAGCCACCTCTTCAGAAGCCAGTCCACCGCTGCTGCTCCATTTGGTGGAACGGCAGGCTCTCGGCAAAGAGGCCCTTGCAGAAGGAGGTGTTCAAGTCCTCCAGGCACCCTTACCAGGGGACATCGTTCGAGTATAAAATCAACTTTCAGTGTGTCTTGCCATCATCTTCCTGACTCTAGCCCCAAATTAAGTACAGTTATCTTTAGCATCTAAGACAGCAGACATAAGACCTTCTATCATGGCATGTGGCACAGATGCTAAAGCACCAGTTCTACACGGTGAGAACCATGTTAAAAATCAATGGACAAAGTGGCAGAGCCTCTAAACTAAGAGATTTAGCTTAATTACAGAACACTGTACTGTCATAATTACTATTTCATTCTGAGTATGAAGTTCTCCACTTTTACTTAAAATTGAATTCCATCTTCCCTGAGAATAGGGCTAAGAGAAAACATCAACACTCAAAATGCCCAGGGCCCTTTAAAAGACAACACAATGGAATGTCTATATCCAATTGAAATGTGTTGTTTCTACTCTAAAAGCTTTCCATTTCCCCAGGTTTTAATCTCACCTCCCTCCGGACTCTAGGAATACAGGTGGAGATGGGCAAGGTGAGACAAGAGACTGAGAAAGTGAGCAGCTGTCGTGCCGGCTGTTCTCACTGGACGGCAAACGGCCATGGACTGAGCTGGAACCTGAACATTTAATGCTGGTGTCCTACTGACAGGATGAGTGGGATGACGCAACCCAGAACCAGGGCTGCCACCTCCAGGCGGCTGAGGCCTCTCCCTCCAGTGGGGTCTGGTTTGTGACTGTGCCCCATTCCGCCCACCTCAGGGAGGACATGTACTGTGGCAACATAAAGAAATGTCCCGGCAGAGAAAAGCATGGCCACTCCAGTGGCATTGACCTCTGAAAGGGCTTCTTTACTGCTCTGTGAATTCAGAAAGAGAGAGAAGTAAAATTAAGTCAAGTATCATTCAGGGTCAGGAAGAAGTCTCAATAAAAAAACATTCAATATGCACAACAAGTTCTATCCGGACCACTGGGGACATCTTGAGATCACAGCAATTTTTATGTTATTTATGGGAAGCTTCCAAATAAGGATTTAAGACTATTGGTGATGTACACAACTGCTTTTTCAAGTAAACTTGAAGCCTGGTCAAACAGGTTTGGCCTGTATTACTCATAAGACAGAATCGACAGCACTATTCACGCAGATATTGAATTTCATACATTCATTCATTTAGGCTACCAACAGTTAACAAATACTGCCCATGTACCAGGCTGCAGGCCAGGGCCTTGAGATACAGTGGAAATCAGAATGTGTACCTGCCCTCACAGAGCCTAGAAACATCTCATACATTAATTTCAGCTTTTCTATTTAAAAAGTAAACCTACGGCCCTGGCCGGTTAGGCTCAGCAGTTAGAGCGTCGGCCTGCGGTCCAGAGAGACCCGGGTTCGGTTCCCGCTAAGGGCACGTCCCTCGGTTGCAGTTTGTCCCCGGCCCTGGTCGGTCGTGCGGGCGGCAGCCACTCGATGTGTCCCTTCACGTCGATGTTTTTCTCTCTCTCTCTCTGTTCCTCTCTCTCCCTCCCACTCTACCTGAACAAAAAATGGAAAAAAACAAAACAAAACAAAAAGTAAACCTATGGCCCTGGCCGGTTTGGCTCAGTGGTTAGAGCGTCGGCCTGCGGTCCAGAGAGACCCGGGTTCAGTTCCCGCTAAGGGCACGTACTTCGGTTGCAGTTTGTCCCCGACCCTGGTTGGTCGTGCGGTGGCAGCCACTCGATGTGTCCCTTTCACATCGATGTTTCTCTCTCTCTATCTCTTCCTCTCTCTCCCTCCCACTCTATCTGTACAAAAAATGGAAAAATGTCCTCGGGTGAGGATAAAAAAAAAAAAAAAAAAAGTAAACCTATGAACTCACACGATTAATTACAATTTGGAGAAAAGATCATACCATAATGTAAATCCATGACTCCAGAATCATCCTACATTCCTGTCAAAAGTTCTAGAAATTTACCCTGATCAATGAAGTGACAAATAGGTACTACTTTAAGAGGAATTACAGCCTGGGCCGGTTTTGCTCAGTAGTTAGAGCATCGGCCTGTGGACCAGAGTCATGGGTTCGATCCTGGTCAAGGGCATGCACCGCAGTTGCGGTTCGCTCCCCAGCCCTGGTCAGGATCACGTGGGAGGCAACTAATCAATGTGTCTCTCTCACATTGATGTTTCTCTCTCTCCCTCCCTCACACTCTATCTGAAGATAAATGGAAAAATATTCTTGGGTAAGGATTTTTTTTAAAAAGTTCAGAATCTGACACAAACCTTGACATATAATATAGGTGCTCAATAAATTTTTTAAAAAGTAAAAGGAGTTATATATTGTTCATTGACTGGAAAAAGATAAGGCCCTTTAGGTGAACAGAAAAAGATTTTATAGCACCTCATTTGATGGCAATCCAGATCAACAAACTCTTGACTACCAGGAGCTTAACCATGCTTGAACCATCCATTTCTCAAAGCTCCTTTTAATACAAGTTTTCCTATATCAAATATGAATCGAATGACACTGAGAAGAACCAATGACCTTCAGAGAGAATATGGGGGTGTGAACCAGCCCTGAGTCAGTTTGGTCCTAAAATTTTCCTTCTATTGCCTGTCTGTTGACATTTCAGTAAAATGAGGAGGTTGCTGCTAAGAACTACAGCCCTAGTAGACAGACTATAAGGCATGGGAAGGTCCATCTTCAACAGGGTCTGAGCTGACAAATGTGACTCATGCCACTTCAGGTCTGAAGCTACATTCAGTACAGAGATAAAGAACTGGATATTTATTTATTTACTATTTAGGTATTGTTGGTGTACAATATTATATCAGTGTCAGGTATACAATACAGTGGTTCAACATTTATATACCTTACAATGTGATCACCTCACTAAGTATGTCACCATGCAAACTTATCACATTATTATTGACCTTATATTCCCCCTCACCTTTTTTACCCATTCCCCCACCTGCCTCCCCTGTGGAAAACATCAGTTTGGGCTCTGTTTCTGAGTCTATTTTTGTTTTGTTTGTTTTGTTGTTTTAGATCCCAAGGAACTGGATATTTAATATTCAGTGATATGAGAGCTGGGATAGAAGAATCTGAGTCCCAGCTGAATGTAGGCATCTCTGTTCATCCCCTACTCCTCTCAAAGCTGCTACATTCTGGTCACTCACACTTCATGTGCCACTATATATTAATATGCACTGTGACTTATTATGTGTCTATCAAATAAAATTAGCATGTCTGGCCAGGTTTAAGTTATATTATTTATTTATTTTATCCTCACCTGAGGACATTTTTCCACTTTTCAGATAGAGTGGGAGGGAGAGAGAGGAAGAGAGAGAGAGAGAAACATCAACCTGAAAGGGACACATCGAGTGGCTGCCACCTGCACAACCAGCCAGGGCCAGGGACAACCTGCAACCGAGGTAGGTGCCCTTAGCGGGAACCGAACCCGGGACTCTCTGGACCACAGGCTGACACTCTAACCACTGAGCCAAACTGGCCAGGGCTAAGTTATATTATTTTAAAGAGCATATATTTGTGCAAATATTTTTGGAGCTATTGGGGGAAAAGTTTTTGAATTAACTGCATTAAGTAAATACTCTCAATTTATGAAGAGCATTGACTTGGAATTAAGACATTTACCTTGTACAGATTTTTACTCCTGATTTTATCTTTATTTATTTATTTTATTTATTTTAGAGAGAGGAAGGGAGAGAGAGAAAGAGAGAGAGAGAGAGAGAAACATTGATGTGAGAGAGAAACATTGATAGGTTGCCTGTCATATGCACCCCAACTGGGGATCGAACCCACCACCTGAGTATGTGCTCTGGCCAGGAATCAAACCCCCAACCTTTTGGTGTATGGGATAATGCTCCAACCAACTGAGCCACACTGGACAGAGCCTAATTTTATCTTTAGTTTGATGAAATAATTTCATTAAAAATTCAATGTAGCCCTGGCCGGTTTGGCTCAGCGGTTAGAGCATCGGCCTGCGGTCCTGAGAGACCCAGGTTCGGTTCCCGCTAAGGGCGCGTACCTTGGTTGCAGTTTGTCCCCGGCCCTGGTCAGTTGTGCGGGTGGCAGCCACTCGATGTGTTCCTTTCACATCGATGTTTCTCTCTCTCTCTCTGTTCCTCTCTCTCCCTCCCACTCTACCTGAACAAAAAATGGAAAAATGTCCTCGGGTGAGGATAAAAAAAAAAAAACAACTAAAATCAATAAAGAAAAAAAATTTAAAAATTCAATGTAATCCTGGCCCGTGTTGCTCGGTCAGTGATTAAGCGTAGATCCATGCACCAAGAGGTCGCTGGTTCAATTCCTGGTCAGGGCACATGCCCAGGTTGTGGGTCTGAGCCTCAGTGGGGGATATGCATGAGGTGGCCGATCAATGTTCTCTCTCATCGATGTTTCTCTCTCTCTCCCCCTCTCCTTTCCCCTCTCTTTAAAAATCAATAAAGGGGGAAAAAAAGTAAGCGTAAGAGACTATAAGTTCTAGATCACAAATAATCAGACACCTGTCTAGATAAGCTAGGAATGAGTTAGACTTACCTTACTTAGTCCTAAGAATGTCACCATGGACATAACTGGTGCTGCCAGTGCAAAGACCAGTAAGTGCTTCCTGATGCGATTCCTCTCTAGGCCAGCATGCATTAAGAACGAAACCAGCCCAAAAGCAGCTGGTGCCTGGAAAACAAAAACGATCCTTTATTACCCCAGAAGCAGAAGTGTGGACTGATTCTAAATTAAGAAGTATGTCATTTGACTGCATTTGTGTGTGCGCATGCAAGCGCGCGCGCACACACACACACACACACACACACACACACAGTACCAAGACCGACTCTGCCTTTTAAGAATTAATGTTCAGAGCTAAAAAAATATCCCATTAGTGTGTGTGTAGAAAGAGAAATAGTCAAGAAGAAAGTATAAGAAAAAATATTTATAGTCCGGCCGGTATGGCTCAGTGGTTGAGCGATGACCCATGTACCAAGAGGTTGCCGGTTTGATTCTCGGTCAGGGCACATGCCCAGGTTGTGGGCCAAATCCCCAGAGCGGGGCGTGCAGGAGGCAGCCAATCAATGTTCTCTCTCATTGATGTTTCTATCTCTCTCTCCTTCTCTTTTCCTCTCTCTCTAAAAATCAATAAAGGAAAAAAAATAAAAATATTTATAAACCAAAATTACTATAAAATGTAGAAATCTATGGAGAATTTCACAGTTTGTGTATGACCATACAAAATAAAACACTTTCAAGTAAAAGTTTAAGAAAATGATTGCAAAAAAAAAACCCCAGCCTCAACAGACTTATTTAACTCTCTAAAATAAATAGCAACATGAAAATAACTTTAAAAAACTTCCCATTCTGAAAAAACATTATGATAAAAGAGAAATTTTAATTCTGAATATATTCAATATTAAATACCCAAATTTTGCTTACCTTATGTAGCATTATTGCCACAAACACAATTAACTGGACACTAGTCTGTGAAGTAGAAGCTGCTGCACCCAATGCAACACCATCAGCTAAATTTGAAAAAAGCAAAACATAAAATACTATAAATAACAACAACTATCAGTGTAGTAGTTGACTGTGCAGGCTATAGAGTCAAGGAGAGCTGGATTTGACTCTGGGAAGGTTACTTAACCTTTCTGAACCTTAGCCTTCTCATCCCTAAAATGGGTTCAATTAACCATACATTCTTAGGGTTTTCATGAGGGTTAAGTGAGATAATGTATGTAAAGAGCTAATGGCCCAGAATATGTAATATATCATCTATTACTGTTGATATTACTAGAATCAAAAAATACACTGACGAGCCCTGGCCAGTCTGGCTGAGTAGTTGGCGCATAGTCTTGTGGACCAGAGAATCCCGGGTTCGGTTCCCACTAGGGGCACGTGCCTCGGTTGCAGTTTGTCCCAGGCCCTGGTTGGGGTCATGTGGGTGGCAGCCAATCAATGTGTCTCTTTCATGTCAATGTTTCTCTCTCTGTCCCCCCCCCCGCTCACTGATGAGCCCTGGCCAGGTAGCTCATTTGGTTAGAGCATCATCCCAATACACCAAGGTGGTGGGTTCAATCCCTGGTCAGAGCACATACAACAATCAACCAATGGAAGCATAAATGAGTGAAATAAAGCATTGTTTGTCCCTCTTTTCCTTCCTTTCTCTTTCTCTCAATCAGTTTTTAAAAATCCAATGATAATCAAATTGTAATAACAGAAATCACAGTAGATATATACATACTGTGTAAACATTGGCTAAATGGATGAATTTTGTTAGAAAAGCATGTGATACTAGAAAGGTCCAGATAATAGCATGGCCCTGGCCAGTTTGGCTCAGCGGTTGGAGTGTCAGCCCGCGGACCAGAGAGTCCCGGGTTCGGTTCCCACTAAGGGCACATACCTCAGTTGCAGTTTATTCCGGCCCCGGTTGGGGTTATGTGGGTGGCAACCACTCGATGTGTCTCTCTTACGTCGATGTTTCTCTCTCTCTTCCTCCCTCTCTCCCTCCCACTCTGAAGATAAATGAAAAATGTCCTCGGGTAAGGATAAGGAAAAAAATACAAAAAAAACAGATAATAGTGTGCCACCTCTCGTTCTTTGTCACTGATAGACTCCTACTATGGAATCAGTTTTGGGTTATGATTCTAAGGCATGTCCAGTCAGCAATGCTGAGACTTTGACTCTACAGCCCCCCTCTGCCTAAACTGACACTTTGGGTATATAGTAGGCAGCAGCGCAGCATGGCTCTTTTCAAGATGAGATTCTTGGGCAGAGGTCAGTAAACTTTTCGTAAAGGCCAGATAGGATATATTTTAGGCTTTGTGGGCCATTTGGTCTCTTGCCACTGCCCAACTCTGCCATTAGTGTACGAAAGCAGCCACAATAATATGTAAACAAGTGGGCATGGCTTTATTCCAATAAAATTTTATGTATGGCTACTGGAATTCAAATTTTATGTAATTTCCATGTACCATGAAATAATCCTTTTTTTAACCAATAGAAGATGTAAAAACCAGTCCGGGTGGTGTGGCTCAGTAGATGAGCATCTACCCATGCACCAAGAGGTCGCCAGTTCGATTCCTGGTCAGGATACATGCCCAGGTTGTGGGCCCAATCCCCAGTGGAGGGCATGCAGGAGGCGGCCAATCGATGTTCTCTCTCATTGATGTTTCTATCTCTCTCTCCCTCTCCCTCTAAAAATCAGTAAAGAAAAAAAATATATATAAAAATCATTCTTAACTTGTAGACCTGACACTGAGTACACCAGGCTTGTGCTTGTGATGGAGGACTTCATTAAGCAACCCTTTCCCTGAAGGCCAGCCCAAGAGTGGTTCATGTAGATGGTCCCTTTGATGTAAACACTGCGTCTCCCACTGTGCAACAGAAAAGAAAGGGTTCCCTACCTGCAGCATGGACGACCAGACCCAGCGTGGTGGTGATTTTGGAATTGCTAGGCCTTGTTGTTTCTGGATCTGAGGTAAAAATAAGCAAGGCAGCCATTAAGCAATGTGAAACAAAAACTGTTAGACCACTGACCTGGAGGTAGAAGAATCCTTTGAAAGCTCTTAAAGTAGATTATTTTTCTCACTATTGTCTTTTTTCTTCTGCTTCACACACTAGAAGATTCCCCTGTGTTGAAAGGTGGAGAGGAGGAAGCTCTTCACTTGATCCAGCTACTTCCTAGCTGCTGACTGCTAAAAGCAGTAAAATCAGGAGCTCACCCTGGAGGGGTTCAAATGTTGACTCCCCTCCAGAATTCACCTGCTTTAGGTCATTCTCCTGTGTCTTTAGATAGTTGCTTTTTACATTTTGCCCAGAGTTTAGAGTTCTCTGTAGGGAGGGTGGTCTGACAGGAACTTACTTGCCCACACCAAGAGTAGAACACCAATGCCATTAATTTTGATCATATATGTCTAATTTCTTCATTTAGTTACTTCTTTTTCCCTTGCACCTAATAAGAAAATCCAAATTTATCCCCTAGTCCAGACGGTGTGGCTCAGTGGTTGAGTGTCAACCCACGCACCAAGAGGTTCCCAGTTTGATTCCCAGTCAGGACACATGCCCAGGTTGTGGGCACGATCCCCAGTGGGGAGCCTGCAGGACGTGGCCAATCAATGGTCTCTCTCATTGATGTTTCTATTTCTCTCTCCCCCTCTCCCTTCCTCTCTCTAAAACCAATAAAGGAAGAAAAAAAGAAAAGAAAAAATGTATCCCCTAGATTTAACAGTCATTGATGATACTTGCCTGAGCCCATTTTTACTATGAACTTTGAAAATATTATGATTTTCCAACTCCAACATTCTTTCCACATTTACCAGATGGCATTCAGCATTCTACTGTGAGCAAGTACCCACCCTTCTTTTATTTTCTTGCTCCCTCCCTCCCTGCCATCTCCTACTTACCTACCCCTACCCTTAGATGGGCTCATCCATTCCCATGTTTTCAATGCTTTACACTTTATTACTATTCTTTTTTTTTTCCTTTACTGATTTTAGAGAGAAAGGAAGTGAGAAGGAGAGAGAGATAGAAACACTGATGAGAAAGAACATTAATTATCTGCCTCCTGCATGCCCCACACTGGGGATGGGGCCTATAACCTGAGCATGTGTCCTGACCGGGAATCGTACTGGCGACCTTCTGGTGCATGGGTCGACGCTCAACCACTGAGCCACACCAGCCAGACTTTATTACTATTCTTAATTATTTTGGTGTTCTAATTGTCTTATATCTGGCCAGTGGGAGTCCCTTCAAGCTGGTTCATACATCCTGTGATATGTTTCCAACTTCTTCCTGCTTTTTTTGAGCCCTAGATGTTCCAAGGTCATTTTGTATCTACTTGCCCCTGTCCTGAAATTAGCCATTTCCTAATATGCTCATTGCTAGTGGGGGTCTTTCCTTCTAGGCCCTCCAGGCAGACAGAGCTTGGAGATATATACATGTATACATAAACATATATAAAATGTATATAAGCACAAATATATGATTTTATTTTTGAATATGGAGAATATTAACATGTTTTCAAAAGTCAAAACTATATAAAAAAGGCATGTCCGGGAAGTGTTATACCCTCCTAAAACCCTTTGTCCTATGATGCCCCCCTAACTCCTTTCAGGTAACCAGCTATGTTTTCTAGCTGTTCCTTATGTTTCTTTTTTTAATGAACATATATATTCTTATTTTTCCTTCTTTCTTACACAAAATATAGCATATAGTAGAAGCAAATTTACATGTTTTTTATTCACTTAACAATATCTCCTAGAAATCTCTCCCTATCAGTTCACAGAGATGATTCCTTATTCCTTTTCATAGTTACATAGATACACAGAATTCCATTGTATGTACACACTTCAATCAACCACTCTCCATGACTAGACATCACATGCTTTTACAATGACAAATAGTGCTGCAGTGAATAACCTGTGCATAAGTATTTTCATATTGGAGCCATATTATTGGAATAAATTCCTAAAGTGGGATTTGGGGGTAAAGACATATGTAGTTTTGTTAGACGTTGCCAAATTCCCCCTCACAGGGACTATGCCATTTTGCATTCCCATCGCAACCTTTGAGAGCCTCTGTTTCACCATAGCTTTGCTAATAAAGTACTGTCAAGCTTTTGAATTTTTGCCTGACAGGTGAGAAGTAGCATCTCAGCAGAGTTTTGATTTGCATTCTTCTTATTTTAAGTGAAAGTGAATATCTCTTCATATGCTTAAAGGCCATTTTTATATCTTTTTATGAACTATCTGTTTGCCTGATTTTCTATAGTTCTTTTTAGGCCAAGGATTCTTAACCTGGGGTCCACAGAAGAGAATACAGGTAGAAGGCAGGGGTAACTGTACCTTGGGAAGAAATGCATTTTTATTTTTACTAACCTTTAACTAAAAATTAGCATTTCTTTTCACTATGAATGTAAACAAAAAACCATAAATAATATTTGTACTACCTATACTTTATTGCCAGAACCCAGATAACTTCATATTACTTTACAGTTGTTATAGATATCTTGATATTATTGCTTTCACTCATCACTACTTTAAATTAAGGGCTTATAGAACTGCCACCACACTGCTTCATTAGTCTGTTGATGCTCATGTGATAGAGCTGGGAACTATCAGGCATCTCTGCACCTAACAGTCATTCAGCCGCCAAACGGTAAGTCATGGGATCACTGCCCACTGCGAACCAAGATATTTATGCTGCTTTCCACTAGCTCCCATCTGCAAAATTCTGTCAGTGCATTTGAAAAGAGATATTTGTAAACCCCTATGTCTAGTATAACTCTTTCAAATTTATTTCTATTATGATGGCTTAAATGTTATATCACAGATCAAAGATGTTGACCTCACCAAAGATGAATTCAGTGATCTTAAAACAGAAAAGTTATTATAACTGGGGTTAAATTTAAAAAGTCTGTAGGGCTGGGGGTTTGGTGGATGAACAAAATGTAACCCTGAGGTATGCATTCTTGCGGCCTGGCCAGCCAAGGACCAAAGTAAGCATGAGAATAGATAAGGTATGCATTATGGGTTTGGAATGCCACCCTAAAAGTGTCAATCAAAGTATACATGATGGGTTGGAAGGCCACCCTGAAAGTGCCAATGGGTTTATGGCCCAAGCATGAACGTGTTTGTTATGTATCTCCCCTGAAAACAGCAGGGGCAACTGGAACAGGAAGAATGCTGAGCTTGGCTGAAAGGTCACCAGAGACTTGATCTCAAAGACTTAATTACCTAAAACACCATGTAACCTAGGGAACCACTTTGCAAATAAATTGTGCTGCATCCAGAGATCAAAAGCATTTGCTCCCTTGCAATGCTCCCCCTCACTCCAAGCCCCCTCTTCTTGTAGTTCATTGCGTTGCAACGACCCGACCCCGACCCCGGCAGGCTGAGAGTGGGCAAATGTCTTAGAGAATTCTAGTTGTCCTTTAAAGAAGCTTATTGTGCCCTGGCCGGTTTGGCTCAGCGGTTAGAGCATCGGCCTGCGGTCCTGAGAGACCCGGGTTTGGTTCCCGCTAAGGGCACATACCTCGGTTGCAGTTTGTCCCCGACCCTGGTCGGTTGTGCGGGTGGCAGCCACTTGATGTGTCCCTTTCACATCGATGTTTCTCTCTCTCTCTCTGTTCCTCTCTCCCCCCCCCCCCCACTCTACCTGAACAAAAAATGGAAAAATGTCCTCGGGTGAGGATTAAAAAAAAAATAAAAAAAATAAAGAAGCTTATTGTTCCTTGATAAGCAAGCTACAAATGTCAATGGGTTTGGAATGCCACCCTAAAAGTGTCAATCAAAGTATACAAAGTATACATATATCTGAAGGAAAATATTTTTGTGAATCAGGATTTTCTACACTAGTAACCATGAAAACAAACATCCAAATGAACTGGATGTTCAAATTGACACTCATGTTGCCTTGGTAAAGCCCATCTCACAATTTAATGTTCTTAGTCAAGCTAAGAAACAGTAGTAGCTGTCATACAGATATCCTAACATATAAAACTTAACCTTGCTTCTGATTAAATGTATTATCTCATAATTTAATGCATTAATAAAGATATACATTACCAGATCACAAAACTGTTTGAAAGTTTTCAATATAACTGGTTTTCTCTGTAACCTTATGTTGCATATTTAAAAGCATTATTCCAAAAAAGGTCCATAGGCTTTAGATTACCTAAGAGCTCCACGGCACAAAAAGGGGTTAAGAACTTCTGCCCCAGACTCTTAACTAAGCTTGACAGCTTTAAGATAACCAGGGTAGCCTGGCCAGAGTGGCTCTCAGGGCACATGCTTGGGTTGCAGACTTGATCCCCAGTAGGGGGCATGCAGGAGGCAACCGATCAATATTTCTCTCTCTCCCATCCTCTCACTCTAAAAATCAATAAAAACGTTTTAAAAAATAACAATAACCAGAGTAGTACTTAATAAACACTCTCTGGTGTCATGTCACAACTCACTAGCTCCGCAAACTGAGTAAAATGTTCATGGGAACCTGAAGAAGACAAGTTTTAGCACTAAATCAAGCCAGTGACACATTAAATTATTCAATCATTTGTGATTTTCTAAACCGCAAATTTATTGCACTGCCCAGAAAGCCTCGGAATCACTTACCATCAGTAGAATGCACATGGGAGCTGCCAATCTGGTCCACCAGCAACATGAAAACAAAGCCCAGTACGAGGGAAACACCAATGTAGGCATGCAGCCGTGTGTGGTCATGGCTATGCTCGTGTTCATGGGCAACTGGAATTTCTGCTTTATCTGATGCAATCACATTCTGCGTTTCAATCCCTTGGTGGTGTTTTCCTATAGCAGAATGAACCATAAAGAGAAAAAATGGTTTCCTCGTAAAACATTTTCATGTAGAAGCTTCCATTGTTTTGTATTTCAAGCTCTACTTACTTTACTGCAAAACCATCCATTTCCTATAGTGAATCCAGCCAATCATAAACTCCTTCAACTTAAAGTTCATGATGAAAAACTTCCCCAGTGTCTTCTGCTTTTGGCATGCAGACCTTTTAACTGCCTATTATCTCAAAACCTAGGAAATGGAAGCAAATCACCAAGCAAGAAAGCAATCATAATCCCAAGGGATATGATCCCCAAATCCTCCTTTTTGACTGAGAAATTCATGCCAATCACATCAGAAATCACAGTAAGTTTTATTTTGATGAAAACAGGTAAATGAAGAGCAATAACAAAAATAATTACAATAAAATTCATCCAGTTTTATACCTAGGTTGATATAAAAATTGCAAAAAAAAAAAAAAAAAGCAAATCAAATATAAAACTTTTAGCTTTAAAAAATATCAGGGGGCAGTCACTAACTAGAAACAAAAGGGGAGAGCAGTTTAAAATGGGTACATCCTGCCCTGGCCATTGTGGCTCAGAAGGTTGAGCTTCCTCCCATGCACCAAAAGGTCAAGGGTTGGATTGCTGGTCAGGGCACATGCTTAGGTTTCTGGCTCAATCCCCAGTAGGGGGCATGCAGGAGGCAGCCAAATGAAGTTTCTCTCTAACATGGATGTTTTTTCTCTCTCACTTCTTCTCTCTCTAAAATCAATAAAAACATTTAAAAAAAAATAGAGGCATAACCTTTAAATTCAGTTCTAGAATTACCATGATTGTTGGGAGATTCTGAATTATAGAAAATAACACCTGGCCAAGTAATACTACTAGTTTATATTCCCATATTTGACACTCAAAACATAAATGCTTCAAGATCGTATCTCTGCTGTGTTTCATGAATAGAGGCTAACATAATAGACATTTATCATTTATAATTAGATTAAGCATTTTTACCTTTAATTAAATAAATTGAAAAAGCCCACTGTAATATTTTAGACACTGCTTTAATTCTTTTATTTTATCCTCACCCGAGGACATTTTTCCTTTTTGTTGTTGTTGTTCAGATAGAGTGAGAGGCAGAGAGAGAGAGAAAGAAACATCGATGTGAAAGGGACACATCGAGTGGTTGCCATCTGCACGACCCAACCAGAGCCGGGGACAAACTGCAACCGAGGTACATGCCCTTAGTGGAAACCGAACCCGGGTCTCTCTGGACCGCAGGCCGAAGCTCTCACAGCTGAGCCAAACCGGCCAGGGCATTGCCTTAATTCTTTAAAAGTCATTTTTGAAGGTCACAAGGACATGTCATTTGAAGATAATTAAAAAAAAAAAAACTATATATTTTTCTAACTCCTGAAAGATATTTTTGATGTTTTCACAATTCTTTCGTTAAAACCTTCCTTTAATGTGGTAAATACACATGACAAATTTAGCATTTTAACCATTTTTAAGTGTACAGTTCTCCAGCATTATGTACATTCATACTGTGCTGCAACCATTGCCACCATCGACCCCATCAGTGTGGTATGTATGTGGTAAGAGCTCACTAAATGTTCAGGAACAGTTATATATTAAATGAAATTCATTTGGGAGAATCATTTGTACACATTTTATATGAAGTATTTCACCTAAATATCTGGTCCAATACAATCCGGAGCAATAACATAACGTTGGGGGAAAGGAAGACAAGTGGGCAAGGGAACAGAAGACACTAGAATTTTAGCAGACAAAATGAAAGGTTGAGGAGATAGATCTTACTAGCTCACGATCATCCATGTTTCAGAATCCTAAGAGGAGAGCAGCAATTTTCAACCACTGCGCCACAAGAATTTTTAAAATATCAATACCTGACTATTTAGTCAGGGGCACTGACCTCTTTTCCTTTAGATTATCAAGTTAAAAAATGACAACAGCCAACACAACAATAGCCGTCCTTGTGTGAATGAATCAAAATTATTCATATCTTTTTGTCAGATGGGCAATGTAAAATATTTTTTGGTGTGCCACAGAATTTTAATAATTAGTTTATGTGTGCCATGAGATGAAAAAGGTTGAAAATCACTGGATTAGCCCTGGCCAGATGGCTCAGTTGGTTGGAGCATCATTCTGTTCACCAAAAGGTTGCAGGTTTGATTCCCAGTCTGGTTGAGGGTTCAATCCCTGGTCGAGGCATGTACAGGAGGCACTGATCAATGTTTCTCACATCGATGTTTCTTTCTCCCTCCCACCCCAAATCAATGAAAACGTATCCTCCTCGGATTAGGATTGGAAAAAAAAGAAAATCGCTGAAGTAGAGTATAATAAGAGTTTTAAAGACCTTCATTTTCTTTAATGAATGGTAAGAGTTAATTAAATATAATTGCAGATGTAACCCAATCCTTTTAAGTGTAGAGCAAAATGACAGAAAAAAAGCCATAAGATGGTAAAGACTCTGATATGTGGCATTCTTGGAGATGTTAGTGGGAAATCTATACCGAACCATTACTGATGACAATAGTTTTGATGATTATCTATTAATGTATACATAACATTTATATTTAAGTGTCTGACCCAAATTGCCTGCTTTCCCAAACATGTTCCAAAGAATTATGGTGGTTTCAGATTTTAGCTCCACAGTAAATAAGCACTGAAGTACTCAAACTATGTTCATAACACTTGTTTCTAAAAAAAAAAAAAGTTTTCTCGAATGAATGCTCATAATCACCTAATTCCAGTGATTTTAGAGCTATAATTATAGAAGAACATGTGAGAGATTCCTTTTTACATTAATCAGTATTTAACAGTGTTTACTAAAGTGTCAGAGCACTTAGTTAATTAACATGGTATACTGAGCTCTGAAAAAAGATCTGTTAATTATCATAATTGCAAGGTCCACAGAAGAACTAAACTATAGGCTGCTGTAACATGTAAACAAACTCTTTTCTTGAAGCTTAGAGAAAAATTAGTTTTATCTACAAATGAAGAAGAGAGGGAAAAGGTGGGGGGAAAATAAAGATAAAGTAGCAGAAACTAAAATGATTGTGACTAAACTAACTCATCAGTATGAAGAGAGATGTGAAAATTTTTGAGACAGCTTAGTTTAAATAAGCTAATATCATGGTTGAGCTACCTCAAAAATTTTTTAGAGTGGAGTATTACTATTTACTTTTTATAAAGAATGATGGGATTTCTGGTGCTGGCCCAAATGGAGTAAATCCGCTATAGCCTCAATTATGTACTGACTAAGACAAAAACTGTTAAAAAAACATCTAACTACCTGAAGACTACAAAAAGCAAACAATATCAAGAAGAGAGAGGGCAGCAAAGCCTTCAAAAGAAACCCTGTTCTTCTGGCCAAAGGACCAGAAAAGGTGCTGCTGAGAGGTACTGGTGGGAAGAAAAATCCCTTTCCCTTTTTTCCTTTTGCCCGTCTTTTTTCTTTCCCAGCCCTGACCTGAAGGTAACCTCAGTTTCAGAACTGCTGGCAGTAATGCAGGTGGTTAAAACCTCTCTCTGGCCAGAGTAACTGGGAAAATGGCCTCAGAGGTCTGAAAAGTATGGAGGAAAATTCAGTTATTCTGTCCTTTTCTCCTGTCACTTTGTGTTGAGGGCAGCTCGAGTCACATGGGACTATGCAGTGACAGCAAGGGCAGTTAAAAATCCTACACAGACTTCTTTCTGGCCAGAGGACCGAGTGTGGGTCCCTGGGAACCAGAGAATATGGGAAAATACTGGAAAGAGCTGGGGCAGGGGTTCCCCCTAATCCTGTGTACAAATGATCCAAGTCCAAAAGTCACCCCTGAACTCTGCAGAGATGACAGATCCAAAGCAGCATTGCAAAGGCTTTGAAAACTGAACTAAAATTGGAACCATCACCCAAAAAGGGAACACAGAATTGGCAGTCTGAACCCAACCAGGTTAACTGCCTGCTAAAATAAAATAAACATTCTCCAGAGGACCCAGAATCTCAAATTATAATATTCAAAATGTCCAAGATACAACCCAAAATTACTTGATATACAAAGAAAAAGGAAAATATGACCAATGACTAAGGGAAAAATAACCAATCCAACCCCAATAGAATTCAGATACTAGAAAACTCAAAAGACTTTAAAGTAGCTAAAACTATGCTCTCTGAGGTAAACACACTTTGAATGAATGGATGTCCTCAGTAGAGAAATAGAAACTATAAAAAGGAATGTAGAAATTTTAGAATTGAAAACTATAATATCTGAAACAGTGAGTTCACTGGATAGGCTCAACAGCAGAATGGAGATGATAGAGGAAAGAATCAGTGAACTTAGCTCCAAGGGCAGAGTTGAATAGTACCAATAGAGATAAATGACTCACAAAGTCTAAAATATTTACTATATGACTCTTTACCAAAAAAGTTTGCCAACCTCTGGTCTAAACATACCAATTAGGCCCTGGCTGGGTAGCTCAGTTGGTTAGAGCACCATCTCAGTGTGCCTTGGCTGCAGGTTCAACCCTGTCAGGGCACATACAAGAATCAACAAACGAATGCATAACAAAGTGGAACAACAAAGCTTTCTCTCTCTCCCCCTCCTCCATTCCCCCTCTCTAAAGTCAATCAATAAAAAATTTAATAAAAATAAATAAACACACCAATTGGAAGACAGACTGTCAAATTAAAATTTAAAAACATAATCCAACTGTATGCTATTTATAAGAAATCTACTTTTTAAAAAATGTTTTTATTGATTTTTTTAGAGAGAGAAGAAGGGAGAGAGAGACAGAACATCGATATGAGAGAGAAACATGAATCAGCTGCCTCCTGCATGCCCCCTACTGGGGACTGAGCCCGCAACCTGGGCATGTGCCCTGACCAGAAATCAAACAGGGACCTCTTAGTCCATGGGAGGATGCTTAGTCTACTGAGTCACACTGGCTGGGCAAGAAATGCACTTTTTTTTTCCTTATGAATTTTAGAGAGAGGAAGGGAGAGGGAAAGACATAGAAACATCAATAAGCGAGAACATCGATTGGCCACCTCCTATATGCCCCCCACTGGGGATTTGACATGTGCCCTGACCAGGAATCGAACTAGCAACCTCTTGGTGCATGGGTCGATGCTCAACCACTGAGCCACACCGGCCGGGCAAAATCCACTTTAAATATAATGAATGACATAGACAGATTAACAGTGAAAGAATGAAAGGAGATATACCATGTAAACGCTGATCAAAAGAAAGC